AGTGCTGGTAAGGGCATCTCACGGAAGAAGACCCTGGCTGCGAGCGACGCTGTACCTGTTAGGAGCTGCTGGGGCGGAATGGTCGCCGTGCAGGCAAAATGGGTACAGGACTCGCTCACAATCGGCAATGCGGAAACTGTTCCCTTCAAGAAGATCACCAACTACACCATCGACCCAGACAGCCCGCACAACGTCACCACCCCGGTCCGTTTCCGGTACGAGCCCGAGATGTTCTATGACGCTTGCGAGTGTTGTCTCTTCCTGGCTGATTTGAGCGCTGTGGCCGCCCGCGATGGGGAATGGGCAATGGGCGACGGCATCTTTGTCAACCCATACGTCCGTGTCTCCTACAAAGAGAGAGCCTTCAAGTGGCTGCGCATTGTGCGACACTGGGAGTGGCTACTCACCATCCCCCAGTATTTGGTCAACACCTTTGCCAACCTGCCCAAGAACAACCCTCACAGGGAGGTGGTGGAAGGCCAGCCCTTCAAGGAAGAGATCTGGAACATCAAGGAGGAGAGATGGGACATGGTAGACAGGATTGGCAGGAACGGCATGTTTTGCGGCGTGAGGGAGACGCAGCTGATTGAGCCGGGGAGGCGTGAAAAGGAAGGGTTGAACTGGATGAGTTGGGAAGATGGGCCTTGGGACAGCCAGCAATTGTATTTTCCCCACTAAGATACCCTCGAAATGTATGTTTTAATGAGATAGATTATGTATTTGTCTGTATATGGATATGGCGGGTATGAAGACCAGTAATGAAGAGCCACGACGGCAGCATGAGAGCAAATGCCATGACCCATGATTTTGACCCTCGCGATTGCGTTCTGCTTGATGCCCCCTTTCTTCAACGACTGCATGCCGAATCTCGCGCGATTTCTGCCTGCAATTAGCTTCCGCTTCGGATGCGAAGTAATAGCTCAATTCACCGGCAATGTGCTGGCGTGGTGTGCTGTCTCGCGAGTCCGTCAATGCCCATAGACTTGCTTCTGCAAAGGCAGGTCTGCATAACGTGCCTCGGCGACGGGAGATGGGACACGGAGTCCCTGTGGAACCCATAAACTGAGCTGAGGGGACCAATTGATTGGAGGCCAGCTGCCGGGCCGTGATGCTGCAGGGGGCTGGCTTGACTTTTGAGAGATGCGCAATGCATGCACCTGGGCTTGCCTGCGTGGCATCTCCAATGCCATCAATAGCGCCGCGGCAATGCTGAGCTGGGAGGGCCAGACGGGAATCTCGGTAATGAAGATGATTTGGAGTCTTTTTGCCAGGTTGGATGGATGGAAATCGGATATAAAAGGCATCGGTGGTTCCCTCGAAATCAATCCCCTTCTTCTCATCATCACTCACATCTTCAATCTCAATCCAACAACCAACACCACCTTTCCAACCCCCCAACCTTCACAATGGCGTAAGACCTTGACAGCGCTCTCCCGACTGCCCTTGGATCCATACTGACTGATCTTCCACAGTGAGCAGTTCACTGTCCCTCTCCCCACCGCCACTGGCCTCAACACCCCCGCTGGTACGTCCCTCGCATCTGAGAAGAATCTACCATCGCAGCCAGACCGATACTAACCCAACCAACAGGCCAGCTGATCAAGGGCGCCACCCAGGACGACGGCTCCCTCCGCGATGCCGCCCTCCTCCTGGGCATTAAGCTCGACCTCGAGGCCGAGGTCCACCTGACTGCCCGCGTCAAGGGTGATGTCGTTGTCGGTCTCTACTAGATGCGCGCGCCGCGCATGAGGGGATGAGCCACTGAGAAAAAAAAGGACGACGGGATGGCCAAAACGGAGGTTTCTATCAATGGGATAAAGAGATGTGGGTGAGGGTCGACGATTGGGAAGTCCTCATGCGCAGGGGAACCTTGGGTCAGATCAGAGTCGCTAGTGAAAAAAAATTCAAATTCTTTCTTCTTACCCTTCTGTCTTTGATTTTGCACACTTGAATTAGACGGTATCTGTGGAGTATCTATTCATTGTGTTGAGATTGATGTCGGGTCTGGCATCTTTCATTGCTGTTTTTAACTCTATACTCAAACTCTCTCATCCGTATCTGCGGAGTATCAGATGCCTTACGAGGAGGAGTCTCATGTGTTTGGAGGAAATATCAACCAGCCAGTCGCATGCCATTCCGTCCGACGACATGGAAGATGGTGATTTGAAGAACCGGGAAGGCCGCCGACTCGCCAGTTTCCCAACTCGGTGTTATGTATCCCCGGTTCGGGCTGCGACTGGTTGATATTGAGGGGTACAAGAGTGTCCGGTTTCTATCACGATGGAGGGAGATTTAAGTTATTATTTTCTCCGAGCTATAAAGGGACCTGCGTCACTTCAGGGACGACTGAAACGTCGTTTGATCCAACTGCCTTGTAGTGTGAAGAATACGCTTGTCCCATCATGACACGACGGCCAATCCATCCGGAGCTGGGATCCGGCTCAAGACCTCGTATGTCCGTCACCAAATAGTTGCACACTCAACACAAATAATCGAAAAGAAGAACCCCCCCCCGCTGACGAGACAATGTCCACACGTAGCAATTGCCGTCGACGGCACCTCGTTCGCCATCAACGGAGCAAACTCGTCCTACCGCTTCCACGTCGACCCAGAGACGGGCGACCTGACCTCGGACCACTTCGGCGGACCGGTCACGGAGAACCCCATCGCTGAGATTCGTGCCAACGGGGGCGGGTGGTCGACGGTCGAGCACCTCCGGAGAGAATGGCCCGACCTCGGCCGGGGCGACTTCCGCACCCCTGCCGTCCACGTCAAGCATGCCGAGGGGTACACGGTGAGCGAGTTCAAGTATGAGTCTCACAGTATCGTGGAGGGGAAGCCGGACCTTCCTGGGCTTCCTTCGACGTTTGGAGGCGAGAATGAGGTGTCCACGCTCGTCATCCACATGCTTGATAAGGTCAGCTCGGTCAAGGCGGACCTGTCCTACTCCATTTTCCCGAAATATGACGCCATGGCTCGCAGCATCAAGATCACGAACCAGGGGACTTCGGATGTTTCCATTGAGAAACTGGCTAGTTACAGCGTCGATCTTCCGTATGAGGAGTATGAGATGCTTCAGCTTCACGGGGAGTGGACTCGTGAGTGTACGCGAATTCGGAGAAAGGTGGACTACGGCGTACAAGGGTGAGTTGAAGATATTTGCGAAAAAGAAGTTATAAAACTTGGAAAGCCAGCAGTTTCTGACAACACCTACCAACAAATAGATATGGGAGTGCGTCTGGATTTTCTTCATTCTACCACAACCCGTTCCTCGCCCTGGTATCTCCGAGCACAACAGAGTCCCACGGGAACGTCTGGGGTTTCTCTCTGGTTTACACGGGCTCGTTCAGCGTCGAGGTCGAGAAGACCCCCCAGGGCTTCACCCGCGCCCTGGTGGGGATGAACCCCATCCATCTGTCGTGGCCCCTCAAGCCGGGTGAGTCCTTTACCTCGCCAGAATGCGTATCGGTCTTCTCCAAGTTCGGGATCGGCGACATGTCACGGAAGTTCCACCGGCTCTATCGCCAGAACCTCATCCTCAGCCCCTTTGTCAACAAACCGCGGCCGAGCCTGCTCAACAGCTGGGAGGGTCTGTACTTCAACTACGACGAGGAGAAGATCTACAAATTGGCCCAGGATTCGGCAGCCTTGGGCGTCAAACTGTTTGTGCTGGATGACGGTTGGTTCGGTGTCAAGTACCCTCGTCTGAATGACCGGGCCGCACTTGGAGACTGGGACCCGAACCCGGTGCGGTTCCCCAATGGTTTAGGGTCGCTCGCCGACAGAATCAACAAACTTAAAGTTGAAGACGTATCGGGGAGCCAGGGCCCCGCTGAGAATCTACAGTTCGGGCTCTGGTTCGAGCCCGAGGCGGTGAATGTGAAATCTTCTCTCTACGAGGAACACCCCGAGTGGGTTCTCTCAGCCGGGAAGTACCCTCGCACAGAGGCGAGGAATCAACTGATGCTCAACCTAGCACTCCCCGAGGTTCAGGAGTTCGTGATTGAGTCGGTGTCCAAAATCCTATCTACGGTTGCTGTTTCGTATCTCAAGTGGGATGCTAACAGAGCGATCCATGAGAGCCCGTCGCCAGAAAACCACCACGCGTATATCTTGGGCTTCTACAGAGTTTCAAAGGTGCTCACTTCCCGGTTCCCCCATGTGTTGTGGGAAGGCTGTGCATCAGGCGGCGCCCGTTTTGATCCTGGAGTCCTGCAGTACTTCCCACAGTTCTGGACTTCAGACAACACGGACGCCCTGAGCCGCATCCATATTCAGTTTGGGACCTCGCTCGTGTATCCCCCGTCGACCATGGGGGCACACATATCAGATGTGCCGAACCACTACACCCGCCGAACCATTCCGATGCGGTTCCGGGCCCACGTAGCCATGATGGGCGGTTCGTTCGGGCTTGAGCTCAACCCGAGCGCCATAACCCCGGAGGACAGAGCTGCGCTGCCCGAGCTCATTTCTATTGCGGACAAGGTCGCTCCTATAGTTATCGAAGGAGATTTCTGGCGTCTTAACCTGCCCGAAGAATCGAACTACCCGGCTGCCATGTTCATCTCGGGAGATGGCTCACATGCCGTCTTGTTTTATTTCCAGATACGCAATACCTCCGTTCACAACTTCCCAATGCTCCATCTCCAGGGCTTAGACGAAGCTGCATTCTACAAGATTGATGGGGAGGGGGCGTATTCTGGAGCTACGCTGATGAATGGTGGTATACAACAACGATTCAAGGGGGATTACGATAGCAGGATTTATTTTATAGAGAGACTGTGAGATACGACACGGGGATGTTATTAAATACATGTATGTATATTTCGGAGCTGGAATACGTAGAGTATATCTATTGTCATCCTGAGACAGGGCTATCATTTCTGCCTGTTTGCTCCTGAATGAAAACCTATGTCTGGGTTATATACATGAAATATGTGAAATATACTCTCGAGGCATTGAAAGCAACGCCTGATACTTCTACTCTTGTGAATTTGTCCTTACTTTCCTAGTGAATATGATAAAGGTTCCCTACCAAACATATCCTTGGCTGTCTTATCAGCCCCATGTCCCAGCAACACTCTGATCACGGAAAAGAGCCCACGTTCGGCGGCCCAGGAAAGTGCTGTTCTGCCTTGGTGATCTGGACAGTTCACATCTGCCCCTGATTCAAGCAAGAGCGTAGCGATTTCCGCATCTTTCCCTAGACCGTTCTTTTTAGCCGTACCCATGACGGGAACAACGCGCATCAGAGCTGTTCTCCCGGATACGTCTTGGATGTTCGGATCAGCGCCGTGATCAAGAAGGACGCGGACAGTGTCGAGTCTGCAAAGCGAGGAGGCGACCATGAGTGGTGTACGGTTGCCATCCTCCAACGTGTTGACATCCGAGCCATGTTCAATTAGTATCTCGACGATTGACGCATCGCTAAACGCCACAGCTTCCATTAGGGGCGTCTGGTTGAAATCGTTCTTGCGGCTGACATCCGCGCCGATGCCCAGTAAAAACTTCAGCTCTTCGACCTGGCCATGCTTGGCTGCCACGTGTAATGGAGTCCGGCCTGCGGTGTCCATTGGGACGTTCCTGTGGTGTAGGATCCGGAGGAACTCGATTTTCCCGAACCTGACTGCTTTGTGTATTACCATTTCCCCGTCCGTGTGCAGGGCAAATGGGTTCGCACCACGATCGAGGAGCAGATCAACAGCATCCCAGTGTCCATTCTCAACAGCACAGGCAAGCGGCGTCGCCCTGTGTGGCAGCTGATGGCTTTCGATGTCGGCGCCGGCGTCAAGGAGCAGGGCCATTATCTCGACGTAGCCAAGTTCGGAAGCTGCCCACAAGGGGGAAGACCCGAATTGGCCGTGCTTGGTGTTTACTTCGGCACCTCGCTCGAGGAGCAGCCTGACAACTTCGGGATGCTGATCTTTGGACGCAACCCATAGCGGGGTTGTTCGGCTTTCGCTAGGACCTCCCTCGACATTTGCCCCGCCGTCAAGAAGCGCCTTGGCCATCTCAAGATTGCCTTGGCCTGCTGCTGCTGTTAGCAGGGACAGCCCGTTGGGCCCGTCAGCTCTTGCACCCCGCTCGAGGAGCAGCTTGGCGACTTCGGGATGCGAGCGCGTTGATGCAAGTCGTAGTGGGTTTATGCTACTTCCCTTATAGTTCCCGTCGATGTCTGCCCCATGGTCGAGAAGCAGCTTGGCCATCTCAAAGCTTCCCTTGTCTGCGGCTGCTGTTAAAGGGGAGAATCCATTGGGGCCGATGGTTTGAATGTGGATGTCTTCTCGTGTCAGCAGAGCCTTGACCACGTCTGTGAATCCATTTATGACTGCCTGGTATAGAGCGGTGAATCCGTTAACCTTGACATTGACGTCTAAGTCCTTTCGGGCCAGGAGATGTTGAAGAACTTTCTCGTGACCGCCTTGGGAAATCAGAATGAGCAACGGCGTTCTGCCGGGACTACCGTCCTGATTCACATTTAGACCCTCCAGATTAAGGATCCTCAGAGCCAGAGTATCATCAGAATTGAGCAAAGCCCACTTGAAAACCTCCATGGCTAGTGCATCCGGTGTTTCGAGAAGGGAAAAAACGTGGTCCAAGTCCCATCCCGGGAGTTGATGGAGAGATGGATCATGCAGTGTCCCAAATAGAAGATAGGATATCGTGTTCTGAGTTGTTCGGCAGATATCGACTTCGTAATTTGCCGGGAAGGCTTCTTTTCGATAGGCATCTGATGAGATTCCCAGCAAGGCATATACTCTGTCTCTCGGGTCGGATGCCCGGCTGGACTTGAACTTCCATAGCAATGTCTCGAGCGTGCGTTTCTCGCTCCACCAGCAAGAGCCTCGCAGGTGGCCCGGCATGATTTCCAACACGGCCCTAGAGTGAGCATCAGGCTCAATGTCCATCAGCGAGGGCATCAGGGCAAACGTCCTGGACGATATAGATCTCCAACCACACACGATCAAAGCCCGTCGGGCGCTGGCCGCCTCCTGCAAGACCCAGATCCTGCGGAACCACTCGCGCTGCAGGAGCCCCAGCATCGCAGCACGGCGCTTCACGTAAACGGCCGACTGGGTTCCGCCCTGCTCCTCCACCATGGCCGGCCATATCGCCCGCCAGCTCTCGGGGGACTGCTTCCGGTAGTTGCTCTGCAGCATGGCGCGCCTCTCAAGCTGGGTCATAAGATCGAAGAGGAGGTCGACGTTGTCGCCCGCGCGACCGAGCCAGATCAGCACTTGCTCGGCATTCTGGTAGATCTCCTTCATGTGGGAGACCTGGTGGCCTCTCTCCTGGTCGTTTGACTGGTTGATGCACAGCGCGTCCACCCACAGTAACCTGTCGCGATCACTGAGACGCAGGCAGCTGAGGGCCATGTACAAGTTCCAGGTGACCCATGCCAGTTCGCCATTTAGCTTGACCTCAGCAGGTTCCGCCTCAAAACCCCAGGTGTAGGACAGAGCTTCATAGGGTATGCAGTCGGCTTCGTCGAGAGAGGTTTCGAAAATCTCGCACTCTATCGTGTCGGTGTGGTAGCCCTTTCGAAGACGAAGGAGTCTGATTTGGTTGGTTGATGAATCGAGGGGTTGATACTGGTAGCGAGACATTTTTTTCCTTTTCTCTCTTTTTCTTTGATGTTTATGATTGGAGAGGAGACAACACGCAAAGAGGGGTTGGCCAAACCATTGATTCCATTTCCAAGGCGCTCCTCCTGGTTATATTGATGTAGATGACATGGATGAAGAAAGCCTTGCCGTAGCAATTGCTTGATCGATGCTTATGTGGGGTTATTGTGTGGCTCAGTGCAAGAGAGCCAATCATCCACGGACTCTGCACTGCCACAGCCAATCGTACCAAGAGAGGATAGTCGATTGATCAAGAAATCAGATGCTGCCTGATTGAGATGCCTAGCGGATAGGCATTTTCAAATTCGTGTTTTACTTCTACCTTTCATCATCTTTGGTGCTTTTGTGTCTAAATGAACCTGTGGATTAATATGTGGTAGAGGATGTTTGAGAATATTGCTAATTATTCGTATAAAATTGGCTGTGTTTGTTTATGGGGTGAGATCAAAAACCCTCGATCAGGGAAGAGAATAATTATTGATATTAGACAATGAGTATACTGGCTTGTTGTTTGATCTGACATCATTATGTTTTAGTTACGTCTCACCATCCATCGCATAAATATATGGCAGCACTGATCCTGAAGACAAAGTTGAGGCATGAACTTGAGCTAATGAGGGTATTTAATAGAATTAAGTTATGGCCAGCTGTAAAGTGGTCCAGGGATAAGAATATATGTAGTTGATCCCTATATACAAGAAGGTAGTTTGGGCGGAACCTCTAAACCGTTTAGTAATGGACTATACAAGGATAGTACTAAATTATACATCACTAAATAGCTAATTCAGTGGGTGTAATTTATACTGTGAATATAGACCGATTCCTCTGTATCTTGATTAGGCATCCTTGCGTAATGATGCAGTGATAATTGCCGAGTTATCAGTCTTGGCCCAACTCAGGGCACGTACCTTAAGAAGGTGGTGTAATTCGGTCCAGAAAGCGTTGCAGCATCAACGTCTTGGCATAAGACAGCAACATGTGACGCTTTTATTTTGGAGATGGAGGCACGCGAATGGACAAGAGTCTTATAGTGGATCCATTTCAACGTATGGAAGGAAAGGATCTTTTGGATGGATGGCCACACATGCTGCATGCTACATCGCATATGTAAAGTGCCAGCGCTTATGCATAGGTTCGGTGGTAGATGGATTTTCATGCAAAAAGGGAGGCACATATATTCCCACAAAATTCGAAAGGCCCTATTGAAACAGGAAATGATAAACATCTACGGTAGCAGTTTGGACCTTGCCCCCAACGGGGGCCGATGCCAAGGAGAAAATCATGCTACAGGCCTCGCTGCTGTCATGCGTCCGAGTGGGTGGCTGATATTCAAATAAGTATTTACCCGCTCTTTAGAATGTATTGGAAGTCTTAGTTCTAAATTTACTGGTCGAGTCACCCAGCTTTAAATTCATCTGGTTTGGCTGTACTTCTGGAGCGAAGTTGGGACTGGGCATCGTTGTCTCGACATGTCGTCTAACGGAGCGCCCTCGGTTTGTTACACATCTTGCAGTGCGTAGACTGATCTAGCACAGAATGAACGGTTGCTCACAATCTCTCTTGCAGGTAATGTTTACGTTTATGCCGAATCGGTGGGAAAAACAGAACTACTCTGTAATCAGGATGGAGATTTCATGAGGGGATACCAGCAATGTCTTCAGTGCCTAGTCGAGAATAATTTAGACGGAAAGGTCGACTCAGAGGTAGTGATCGAGTTCAAAGAGTTCTTGGACTTCTGCAAGATACCCCTTGGCTATGTGTTCACTACTGGGGCTTTTGTTCTACCTGGTCCCATGACATCAACAATGGTCTATCTCGTGGTACCTTCAGGACAGCGAATTTCTACACCCGCATCTACGCCGGCGACGACAAGAATTAGCACGAATACAAGTCCGAGTATACAATCCTCGAGCGCCACCACGTCATCTTTGAGCACGGGTGCGCCGACTGACACTGGTGCCAGCATTAACAGTACGTTTTGTCTTATTTTTTGAGAATTATCGTTTTTTCCCCAAAGCTAAGCATGTCTCGTTAGAATCTACTCTCGCTGGGATCATAGCAGGCAGTCTGGGAGGATTAATTGTCATTATGATTGCCGTTCTGATCATTTGGCGCCGAACTCGGGCTCAAAACAATACATCGACCGATTGCGGCGACTCCGGCGATAAACATTTCGAAAAGGCTCAACTTCATTCTGATTGTGTTCCAAAACCAGTCTTCGAGGCATCTGATGGCATGATCCACGAGATTGAAGGCTCGGCATTGCCTCCAGAAAGTGTTGTCGAGAAGCCTGCGAACGAAGCTCCTGCGCAAGAGCTGCCACCCGAAGGTCTCTCCGAAAAGCCCGCGAATGAGACTCCCGCCCGGGATTTTATAGGATCAAGAGAGCAGTTTGCTGAATTGGACAGCACAAATCCCGAAAACGAATCGTCTAAGGTATTGGGTCGGCAAAGCCCTATAAGCACGTTAAAGGCTGGAACACGAGCGTGATGGGATAGACAATCTTATATATATTCGTATTTCGTAAACTTAATTATCCTCAACAAGACGTACTTCAACGTAGGTTATATGTTGGAGCGCTTTCTCAAATCGTACAACGTTGCGCATATTGAGATTCTCGGTGCTTGAGAGTAAGTTTAATGACGATGTTGAGTGCTGGTAGTCCAAGTTGGCGAGTGTTTCCTCACCCTGCAGCGTCAAGACAAAATACGAGTAAGCACACCGGCCTCGCTGCAACTAGACAAATTTTCTATCGTGAGATATTGCTAAATAGTATTATAATGGAAAGCCTAACTTAAAAGCGGCTGGAACATACAGAGATTCGACTTCTGTTTCAGTTTGGACCCTTGGTGTGGGGATGTACAGTCCAGCCGTCGCTCACAAACTTAAGCTCCCCACTCTGTCTAAGTAGATCTATATCTGTACAAACTTTCACTCGAATGTTGCCTGACATCAAGCCATAGACGCGGAACAAGATACAGGCTTGCCGCTTCTGTTTGGTATCCAAGCGCTGTATAGAGAGGTACTCCTCCATCTGTAAGACTATTAGTATCATACTTGTTGAAGAGAAGTGATAGGCTAGCTTCGGAAGCTGAAAGCGGAATAGAGAATCTCCTACTTTAATGTATTGGTCATTGGTCATGTAAAATGGCAAGTCGGGTTTCTCTGATGGACTCGTCTTTGTGAGGATGAGATACTCTGGCGTGCTTTCCTGCCAAGAGGCATCTAGAAATCCTCTTTGAATCAAATTCTTGGTCAGTTCGCCCTTCCTGTCGTGATATGTTATGTCTCCAGCGCCGTAAAACACTGTATCGGGTATGTTCTCGTAATCTGGATGTGCTTTGACGAATCGGCGTACGTTGCTTCTCCATACCCCAATATCGAAATCAGGAAGCTGCAGCTTAAGGAGACTCTCGAAAATCTAACAGGGGAATCAAAATATTAGTGACGGGCGATGGGGAGGCCGAGGGACAGGTGATGGGTGGTGCTCACAAACAGTTCTCCTGCTGCCCCAACCATATATTTAAACTCCTTATCATCTCGCCCGGCAAAATTGTAGTTCGAGGAGCTGTCGAGACTTCGAGTTAGTGAATTCATATTAAAGACAGACTCGGAATCGAGCGGTATAGTGTGCTGACGAGCAACCTCAACAACTCGAACAAGAAGCCGTTTATATGCCTCTAGCTCTCTGGACGCGTTATAATATTCCGAGTAGTTATTAAGAACATCCATTGTGGAGGAACCTGCAGAGTATGATGTTGAGTCCTCGGCCCAGTGTGTGAAATCATGTTTTGATCTCCTGGGGGGAGATTTTCCGATCAAGACCAGTTCCCCCGATGATGAAGATTGAAGCAAGCCCAGCCCTTCTATATCTTCATCATCGGACTCACCAAGCGATGATTGGTCTAGTTCTGGGATTCCCTTTTCCTGGAGAATGAGGCTCATGCTCTTGGGCCTTCCGTGGATAACACTAGAAACCACGCTGAGGATTTTGTCGGTCACCTCGGATGTAGTGCAACCGAGGAGAGAGGCGGCAAAATGATGGGGTAGTTTGGAAGTGATGCAAAAATCCCGAGTGCTCTCATCCGCAGTTATGAATATTTTGAAATCACTATGTTCCGAGGTGTCAATATGAAGCACACCCTTGCCGATCGGAATCTGAACTTCTTGTTCGTTTTGTTTGATGCAGAGCTTGGTGTTGATATCTTGAGCTGAGTACACCCTGAGTTTACGAAGTGAAGAATAGAGGCTCTGTGTGGAAGACGCTGCCAAAGGACTCTCAAAGTGTGATGCGATGCTGTTGGATTGATAAGTCTCTTACATGATCTCGTAGTGAATGCAGAAGGGTAGACTAACCTCACAAAGGCGCCTGCTTTCAAGATAAGGTCTCTTGTAAGCTCTCCGTCCAACTGATGACCGTCCTCCCCTACAACGGTTCTTTCATCGACGACTCTGGACAGATTCCGGGTCGCCAATCCCATCCACTCAAACACAGGGGCGAGCTGCTGTGCTTCTGCAACTGTAAACTTAAGAACTGAAATATGAGGCTGCAGAGCATCAAGATAGCTCTGGCGGTCGGCAATAGCAAATTCGTCTTTAGCTGATAGAAGTTGCACCTGGGTGTGTCCGGGCACATAGGCTGGGAAGACTCGACTCAGCAAGGCTTTGTCTTCCAACTTCGGTTTCTCCCCTGAATGTGATGCGAGGTAGATCTTGAGAGACTTCAGAAGATTCTCCGCATGAGTGACCGATATGACGTTATCGCCGATATCTTGAAGCTCATTGATGATAAGCTTCAAGTCTAATTTGCGCACACCCAGTATATTGACAAAAAATGCTGATAGGTCGGGGTAATGCCTCTCAAGACATGGCTTGCCAAGTTTCTCTCCGTCGACAGACCACAGACAGCCCCCAGTGGAGAACCACTTTGTTTCCTTGTTGGAAGGAATGAAAATCAATGGCTCTGTTGCAAATTGGAGTCTTGGTCCAGTAGTTAGCAACTTCCCCTAGGCGCGAGGGTCGTACGGGCTGGTACTATTCAGGGCTATGTTGACAGGGTACGTTGCATCACTTACTTTATCTTTTTCAAGCTGAGACTATCCCCCTTCATCTCCATATTGGTGAGCATTTCCGACAGCTTGTTGTATATTTCGCCCAACACGTCCAATGATGGTGAGTCCGAACTAGACTGAAGGATAAGTTCATCCAAGACGTCTTGGCTCTCGACATCTCGGATGCCAACTGTCCGGCGGAAGAACTGCTCCAGGCTATCTCTGTCCTGAGGATCTAAGTTCGCGAGTGTAGTCTTCCAGCGTGCACCTACCGGTTCTTTACTTTCAAACCCGGGTGGAGCATCCCAGAGGCAATCATGTGTGTTGGCCCAACTACCGTCCTGGGCGTCCTCATGCTCCAGCACCTCATCGTTACTCTCCTGCGATGGAGAGCAAAGGACGCCGTAAGAAGAGTCAAAGAACTCCCTGGAATAGTGAGAAAAATAAACTTGAGATTATAAATAGCAGATGGACCAGCCTTACCTCACTCTCTTCTGTGCTGCTTGACGGTCATCTGACGCGAGACACCGAGCGTGGATCCGCAAGTATAGTTTCGTGACACTTGCGGTGAGCGATTCCGTGGTTCCTGAATCACCGCAGTTGATAGCTTCAAGAATCTTCAGGTAGAAGTCCAGATCGTCTGTAACGCCCAAAGTGAATGCTTTCCCAACTCCCTCCCAGCCTAAAGCAGTTCCTTCTATGATGGGATCTTCCACTTCTAAGAATGGAAGAACGCCCGGATCAGAGATGAAGCTGCTACAGCGACTGACGAGGGATGGCACTGGCAGATATGTGGAGGCAAGAGGTCTTTTCACCCCCGACTGGTCAATAAACTCACACTCTTTGAGAAGTTGGATCCGCTGTGGGATTGACAGCCAGAACTCTGCGAATGACGGGCTAGAGGCCCATTTCGCACACAGATATGAAATAACCTTTGGTGAACGATGCTCTACCAAGAAGCGAAACTCACTACTTAGCGTTTCAGGTCGGCGTATTCTCGCGAGAACCTGTATGGAGATTTCGAGGTGCATGTCATGATATAGCCACTTAACCCAGCTCTTGCCAAGCTTCTGATTTGTCTCAGGCCGATTTTCGAGATAGGAAGGATGAATGAGTGACATGTTGGACTCAATGATGCTACCCCCTGAAGTCTCCATGGGTGTTGACCAATTGGACGGGGAATATTTATCTCCTTTGTCTCCCGGCAGGTATGTATATTCAAAGAGTGGGAGCCGAGTTTGACCTTTGTGATCGACTATCTTCAGATTATGCAGCTGATGGCTGTTCTGGTTGAGGTGGTGAAAAACCCGATAGAGGTACCTGATGTGGTTGTTTGATGATTCTACAGGAACCGGTTCGCTGCTGTTGTGCCGCTCCACGATCAAGCTATAGACCCTCTGAGGGGATAGTCGTTTGGCTTGAAGCTTCTCGTAAAGACTTGCGCAATCTTTATTCGCAGCTGCCTCTGGTAGAATAAGCTGAACACTAAGATCTTGAGGGATGGCTACTCCGTCAGATTCAGGGAAATAGACATCCGACCCAAACAAACTAGCTCCGATAACGTGTCTGCCTCGTAGCACCTTGGAAGTGAGTGGGATCAACGGAAGCCCCAATATGACGTTGGATTCTTTGATGGATAAAATCTTTACGATCAATCTGGCCAGCCTTGCCTGCCAGTCTTCGTCGCGGCTATCAAACATCCCCGAGTACCAGGTGGTCGATTTCGTCAGAGCCGAAAGTCGAGGGATGATGCCCTCATCGTTAAGGTACTCTAGCCCATATTCCATAAGGATTTTCGAATCCTCAGGTTTGTAATTTCTGGTCAAATACAAGGGGGCCATCGAGATATCCGGTATCAGCGGTTTCCCTTGTTGGTCCAGGTGCTCAGGTCGGAGGCACTTGAGACTGGCTAAGTAATACCGGGCGCCTGTTTCCTGACTCTCGGGCTCTAGAATTGGCACTTTCCCAAGAGACTTTCGTATCTCAGGAACGAGTGCTGCCCAAAAGGGATCTTGGGGCAGGCTGTCGTGTCGGGGTAGATATCGCATCCATATATATCTGACAGATCGCAGAGTGGAGAGGGAGGCCAGACCCTTGGCGACGGCATCACTAATTGCAGCACGCAGCCCGATATTCCTTGGCGAAGTGGAAACGATATCTTGCCGGTTTGCCTGGGTGACGAAATCGGCATGTACGAGAAACTGTCACCGCTCTGTCAGCAACATGTTATATGGCAGGTGTGGGAAAGGGTGAAATCACGTTGAACCCGACCCTGCGGACGGGCATGAATGCAAATAATTCCTGCGACTGGATGATGGGCTGGCTGTTCTTATCGAGAGGGAAGGCTACGATAACCTGGCTGGTTGACCAAGCTTTCTTTTCAGTCTCTTTCGCGTCGTACTGTCTGTTTTCATTGGGCTGGAGGTTTTTGGCCTCGTGTCTGACAACAAAGAAGCGATAGACTGATTGGCCGGGGGCATTTGCTGAGCTGCCTGTTTCTTTCACCCGTATCTCGGCGGTGTCGCTGGATGGATCGCTTCTTTTCATCCTGACTACTCGAGACCAGGCGGGACTCTCATTGTGTTCGCCGTATACGGAGATATTGATCACCTTGAGCTTCTGAAGGAATAGCAATATTTCCACTTGCAAGTTCCGCAGTAGCTGAACGATGTCGGCCTGCTTGACATCCTCGTGGAAATGAAGCGTCATCCGTGTCGTGTTGGCAGGCAGTGTCGTCTCGGGATCAAACCAGATTGGATTGATCATCCCAATCCCCGTATCCTGCTTGCGGTGCTGGAAGTAGAAGGAGAGGGCCCCGGATTGAATCTCGACCTTCCAGGCGGCGATGAAAACCGACTTGAAGCCGATTCCCTTCTCTCCGATGTAGCCCTGCGCGCCCTTCTTGGAGCTTTTGCCCAGGTTGCAGATGGCCCTGACATTCTCAGCCGTGAACCCGTCCTCGTTGCACTCCAGGACCAGCCTGTCGGGATACACGCTGAAGGAGACGCATGGGTCGCCGCCAGCCTGCCGGGTTGCCTTGTAGCTGTTGTCGTCCGCATTCTGCAGAAGCTCGAAAATAAAACGAGCCGTGCTAGAGTACAGATTACGGGCAAGCCTAGGAGAAAGGAACAAGTCAGATGTATCGAGTCAAGGGACGGACCATTGTATACACACGTGACGGCACCGCTGCCTATGATGCTATCCTTGAGATTGAAAGCACGAGTGATTTTCTGTCGCATGGCCTCGGGAAGAGTGGCCAACTCCCTCTCTGAAATGAAACCATGATCCTCAGCGATCTTTTCCACCAGCTGTCTGGCAGAATGAATATCGAGGCTGCTCATGGTGCCGTTTGTCGCCAGACTAATTCTAGTGAGCTGGAAAGAAACTCCTTGTATGGAGCGTTATGCTGGGCGAAGTAGGCACTTGATATAACGCAATGTGGTACGCAATGGGGGCAGAGCTGAACAGCAGATGCAGGGGCTTGGATCCTGTCGTCATTTCACGGGCTTTTAAGCGCCCCTAATACGCCTGGGGATATAGATAACGCAAGTTATGCAGTTTGCTAATTGTGAGGGTGCGGCTGAATGGGATCATCATCGACGTGCAGTTCCGTGCTCTCTCTATTGGACGTCGAAGCGCCATCTTGAAATCTCAGGCACCCTGTGTTTGAGATGCACCTGTTAGGATATGAGACTTGTCAGCAAGAAGGGCCACGGAGTCCTTGGCAAGAGAAAAGGCCGCGAAGTGAGAAGTACAAATGAGCGTCAGTACAACATGGGGGTTCGTGTGTGTGTGTGGATGCATGTCAACCAACAGCAGCTTCTCTGTGGCACAGTGCTCTAGCGCCAAACCTGGAGGCAGCCCATCACAACTCAGCAGTCTCCAAGAGCAGGGGCTTCGGATTGTTGGACTTACCTGGGCAGTTTCAAACTTCCATCATTAGATGCCTCGAGGCAGCGGGCTGGCCGTCCAGGTGTGTGGTGCTGAGGAGCTGAACTTTTGGCGATCATCTTAGCAAAAGCTACTCATAGAATGAAATTCCCCATAAAGCCCTTTAATTCCAGTCAGGAAAATGACCATCATCACTTATCTAGTGTGGTAGGCCTAAAAGATGTCGCTTCTAGTTCGGCTGTATCTTTTGTAATCTTTCCGTGTGTTTTGCCTTTAGGAAATGATGTACAGCCCATTTCTCAGCAATCTGGTTGAGAATCGTAGCCTTACAGTATTTCTATCATGTCCTCGAAGCTATGCTTTGTGTTGAGGTGTCGGGTCTGGCATCTTTCATTGCTGTGTTTAACTTTATATCGAACTTTCTCATTCGTATTATGTCCTCGAAGTAGCTTGAGCAAGGGGGACAACATGAAAAAGTTGACTGAATCTCTTAGCTATGATAGGTTTATTCAAGGCAATTCGATGTTGCACAGAATCGCTCGAAAGCAAGTTTTGCGACGGAGCTTTAGGCTTCTAAACTATGCAACTTTTACTAGGTATTGGGACATTTAATTCGGGTTGTCTGCTGCGTGGCCAGACTGATGAGTAACGTATGAGAACCGACTCGGCTACGATTTTATGAATACTTATTTCTATTGCGGCAGCAAGATACCTGGGAAACTCGTCCCTCCCGCCTTTGAGTATCTTGGAGTCGATGGAATCCTAAACTTGTTGCGGCTGCCCCTGCATGAAATGCATCTGCATTCCTACCAAGCGTTGACAGGTCCAACTGCACCTTTAATACCGTACTGATCTTTTAGGAGCATTATTTGGTGCAGGTAAGCAGGGAGAAACTGAGACCCGAGCTCAGACATGTGCGCTCATAGCTTTTCAATTACAACCCCTCCATTCCTGATATCTTTATCGTGCTCAAATCTATAAACATCACCAACCATCAAAACGGTGAGCAACATGAGGCTGCTGTTTATCACAAATCGTAGATTCTTCTCATCAGAACACCCATCAACCCAAGTCAGAATGATACACTGAATACGGCTCTATAATAGCTTCTTCATTAGCTAGATCATCTATTTCCAATGCCTTGTGTCTGGCAAAAAAAAACCCGCCCAAAACAAACCGTGTTCTCCACTCGTGAATATCTTCATCATTAAGGAGAACTTTAATTCTGTCAGATAACGGTCCATTTCCTACCCAGGTTTCTGTTACCTTCCACCAGGCATGGAAGGTACCAGATACTCGGTAATTTTTCATAGTCGGCCCTTTATCACACCTTCTCTGAAGGAGTTGGTCAACGTCATGTGTTTCATGGCTCATAAAAAAAAACAGTCTCAGACCTACATCCTTGGCTTGGCAAAGCTCGTGTTCGAGATTTACAGCAGCAGATGCGCTAGGTATATTATCAACGGAACATGTTCGGCCGCATTTGAGTGGATGAGACAGCAGAGGCTGGCTGAAAGGCCTCAGATAGGTAAGGACTTGACAGACTCGTTGCTTTTTCGGGATGTCTAATATGGATCAACAAGACTTCGCCGTATATTTCGCCGAGTGGCACTTTTGTCATCGGCCAAGTTTAGATCTTGGGCCGTTACTAGGGAATTTTCCCCTTTATTGAGAGATATGGGAAGCTCCTCTATCATAGGAAGTGCACCGAGAGAATACCCGAAGGTATTTGAGGAATTGTAAGGTTTCGGATAGAGCTCTAAGACAACCCAAGGCCCCCCGGACTTCACTAAGCGCAACAGTTGCGTTGCCGGGAATTTTTCAACTATAAAGGTGTGATGATGGTGCTATGTTTGAACACTTCTATCCTCAAGACTTTTGCTTAGATTAAACAACTCTTCTCTTGCCCTATCCAAAACGATCATTATGCGAAAGAGTGGCATACTTCATCTTGCTGCCCTCGTGGGGGTCTCAGCTGCGACATCTATACCGGCTGTGCGCGGTCAGAATGAAAGTAAGTATCAACTAGCCAACTGATGATCTGCTAAGTTCGGTATGAATGCTCACATGATAAAAAGAAATTGTCACCCCGGAAGAGGTGGATCTGATGGACCTCTATGCTTCATACACCGCTTCCGCACCGTGCAATAACGGAACCGCCATTGATGACCCCGTAACCTGTTTCAAAAACTGTGAGAGAGTGCAAGAAGACAAAGCGATTGTAGTCGGATCCTACCTGTAAGCTCCTCATCCACCGAAGCAAGCGAGAAAACGAACCTGTGTTGACAATTTTGTGAATAGAGGGGAGCAGACCGAGTTTGCGGCGTACATCGCCTTGGTTGAAAGCCGAAAACAGATCATTTGGGTTGGTAGAGGCACTGCTACTCCCAAGAACGAGGAAACGAACCTCCAGACACGGCTGATCCCAAGCGACCTTGTGGAGGGGGGTAAGATCCATACCGGCTTTAGCACTGCTTGGAATGAGATATCCCACGATGTCTTCGCTACTCTCAAAGAACAAGTATCCATGCACCCAGACTACGATATTGTCATCACCGGCGGTTCGCTGGGCGGTGCTATCGCCACAATAGCTGCTGCACACATTCGCGCCGCTGGATACCAAGCTGATCTTTACACATACGGCTCCCCTCGGATCGGCAATGATGTCCTCGTCGACTTCATCACTCAACAGCCTGGCAAGTTGTATCGGGTGACGCACAGGCACGATTTGGTTCCACGCGTGCCATCGCCCAGTATTCCCATCCCGGATTGGCCAGAATATAGACATGTCTCCCCTGAGTATTGGCTTCAGGGCGAGCCTGCTGATCCAAACCATTGGCCGATCGAAGACATCAAGATTTGTGAAGGGAACTTGAATCGCGAATGCATCGCCAATCCTTCGAATCCCGTGGATTGGAACATTTGGGAGCCTGAGAATGACCACCAGAACTACTTCGGTTCCTTGATATGCTGGAACAATGAAACGGCGCCAGTTGATATCGATTCTCTAAAGCATAATATTGAGACCTTGCGACTTAATGCGGGCGAGAATGTATCACGATAATTTAGAAATTATTATTTGTTCGCACACTATGTTGGGATTTTTGGGATTGAGTATCGGATTCAACACCATCTCATAATAAGTACCTACATACATTAGGTATACTAAATAGGCAATACAAATCGGTAAACATCCCGGCCGTAAAACATAGATCCAAGAATCTCACGATTGATGCTGGGTTAAATTGAAATTTTTTTAACTTCAGCGGGAAAAAAAAGGCACAGGGCTCCAGAGATCAGTGTCCCGAGAAGAAAGGTGGTAGCTAACCCAGTGAAATAAATAACCCCTAGTCATTCTGCGTATAACTAAAAAAAATACTTGATAGATATACTCGACTTTTAGTCCTTGTTGGTTTTCATGGGGGCAGAAAGGCTTGAACTTCCTTACTTCGTAGGCTCACATGGCCTCACGTTTGCCGGATACATTTGGAAAATACGAGGAGGCTTCAAAAGACCGAAGCTTAACAAATTTCGCCTGTGAATGTCTACAGATATTTCTATCCTTCGTACTGGGTGGAAAAGTCACTACATTCCATCAATGGTAGTCATATAAACTCGCTCCTGGCACGTTTCCCCGATTTTGCCGAATCATACTCGTCGCCCATAATCATCTTCTCCAAAGATCGCTCATATCCCTTGCGTTCCTCATGACCAATATCAAGTAGAGACCACGAGAGATAGACTTGCAGAGAGAGCAGCTTGCAGTCCAGCTTCTTCAGAGGCTCAAGCATACGCTTATAGGTATTGAGGATGGCCTTCTTCATCTTCATACTCTCATCACTGCGCCCCCACGCACTCGTGTGATTAATAATCATATTATTCTGATTCTCACTATAAAAATCGAATAGCAGCCCAGATACTGAGGGCACAGAGTACAGGTCACCGAAGTGAACCTCAAGTCTCAGGCGTGACAGGTCTGCCAGATGAGAGAGACGCTGGATGGACTCAACCCACGCGTGCCAGTCAGGTTCATCTGGCAATAGGTAGTCCGGAGAACAAGGAGGGAAGATGACGCAGAGGTTTCGAAGGCTCCATAAGCTTTCAAGCGGGATGCGGCGGAGGAAAGGGGGCAGAGTAAGATGATGACCGCCGTCAGTAGCAATTCTATACCGGCCATTTCTCTTTACAGGGGGGAAACAAAGCCTGTTGCTCGAATAGAACACGTGTCGCGCGATGTAAGAAAAATCCTTGCTCACTTGGAAGTATGCTTCTGGCGGGAAATTATCACACTCGCAATGCTGACTGAAGGCGTTAGGATACTCCCAAGAGCAGAAGCTGGCTGTACTAGCCATGGGCTGGGAGAGACGGTCCTCGCCATATTTAGGGTAGAGCCGCTTCATAGAACAAGTTTTTCTGAAGTTGCCGGGGCGGTAAACCTGATTTGGCCTGAAATGAACGTTTTCGTCAGCTACCAAGGGCGTTTGTTGCAGGATCTGGATCTGTAGCTCGAGCGGGAGGCTCATGAAGCGGAATGGTGATTTCTTTATATTTTCACCTAGTAGACCCTTTGCAGCGTTTCGTATGAATGACCTGGAATCAGAGTCTTCGATACCCGTGAGAAAATGTCCAAGATTAATGGCCACGTCTCTGAGCGGAGGCATGTCGCTCAAAGGGTCAAGGATGCATTTCGCGGTCTCCATGTCAGCAACGTTAGCAACGAGAGAGAGGCTGAGCTGATGGGGGCGCGAGTTCGCGGCTAGACGGGCACAGATTCGTTTCCATTGAGAAAGGATCGACTCATCAGTCCGATTGATGCTGGTAAGTCGCCGACTGTGGAAAGTGGTCCAAAAGAGATGATCTTCAACCCTATCCCAAAAAGATTGTAGATCTTGTCTCTGCCCAATCAAAAAGTCGGGGTGATGGATGCGTAGATCTTTCCCGCCCCGGGAGCGGCAGAGGCATGGGCATATGCTTACGATGAGAGTCCTCAGCTCTCTTAGCGCATTATCACTCAAACTTTCTAATGGTCGTAGACCTGGGTCGCCTATCAGGGTTACTGCAAAAGTATTCTCGGCGTATAGCTTGGTCTCGACTTCATCATGGATTAGGCGAGAACCGGCCGATAGGAGGGCGGTGGAAAATGAGAAGTTGCCGTCTTGCTAGCGCTTATTGGGCCCGTTGATAGTCCACAGGTTAAGGTCGATGAACTTGTTGCCCCTATAGCCCGCCTCTTGGTAAATTTTGTCACGGACATGCCGTGGTAGGTCGACGAAGGTCACACGGTGACGGGGCTTTAGTACGCGATTAGATATGAAGAATTCGCTTTTGATTTGCCATTGAGCACTTACAGATCCTCTCTCACGCATACGTGAAAGTGTCGGCGTCGGTCCAGCCAGCATGTCGTGCTGCGTAGTCTCTTCCATGGTCGAGGAAGTCAATAAACAAATCCCGCGTTCGGTTTGTGGTAAGAGAAGGTAATGAGTGATGAGAAAAAGACAGGATGGCGGTCTCTTGTAGGTAAAAGAATTTTTAGGCAGCCAAGAAGTTTCACCTCTGCGCCCAAGTAAAAACTGAGTTTTCTACTACGCAAAGTTTGGCTTGCTTGGGGCGTTGTTGTGAGGTTAATTCCCAGCCTTGTGACCTAAACAATGCTTAGACTTTGGATACATCTCCCGGGCGTAAGTTTCTTTTAAACTCTAGAGTCAAGGAGAGATATGAATTAGGCTGTAGATTTGGGGATTAGAGAACCTAGGAGGCTTCTTTTGAGGCAAGTATAAAATTTGATCTTAATTATGCCAACACAAGAGCTTGTTTCACAGCAAGGGAGTCTTGTCTAGTGGCGGAATCCTATATCGCGATATTGGAGGCTGAGATTCCGATAATGTCTTGGAACAAAGCCCCAAGTAGAAACTTTGTGAAGATATCAAGCTAGTTCCAATTACTTTTCTGCATTTTTATAGCGGCACATTTTGGAGATTTGGCTCTGCTCAAACTGCTGCCGTAAGTATATTTCCGCCCGCAGGGATTCCATGAAGTAGAACCATAAAGTTCTTTACTATCCTTTCGATGACATCTAATGCTTTATGATATCTGTTCTCTGGCCAGTGGACATATCCGTCATAAGATCCCTTTCACATGACTGCATACATATACTGTGAAATAGAATTGTTGATTTTCCTGCTAGGAAACAAGGCTACGGAACTACAACTTAATAAACTATCCTGGTTGGGCTACCTGCTGTTAGAAGACGGAGTAAGTAGGGCAAGGAAATTGGCAAATACGGGTCTGAAACCTCGAATATACCTTATCACTAGAGAAGTGAATTTACACATCTCGGGTGAATAGCCCACAAGGGAATTCAGGTGTCGCCTTGAGGGCCACATTCATATAGCATAATACACAGAGTTATCTGACACCTGCTGACCAAGAGATTATGAGACTGAAGGATATGGTACGATTGGTCGTGTCAGTTTCTCCTAATGCAGATTCATGCCAATGCATAGCTGCGTTAGTGAAGCTGAAGCACATATCGCGGAAGGTCAGAACCTGAAGATAGTCGTAGAAGCTACATCAACTTATCACCCTCCAAGCGATTGAAAACTCGGAATTTCTTAGGGTACTTCCTGGTTGTCCAGTCATGTCATAGCTAATTGCCTTATTCCGATGCAAATGGCTAGTGGTCTCGAGGCTCATGGCGCAGCTAGCGCGGTGCTGCAGGTCATTTCGTTTACCGGCGGCCTCATCTCCCTGTCCTACAACATACATTACGGGCAGCTCGTTGCCGAGAACGATCTCAGAAACTATGCTTCTTGAATGGTTGCCGCCGTAGACCAAACCAAAAGTCGCTTCAAGTCGCTTTCTCAGGACCATCAGCATCTTGGCACCCTAATCCAAAACTACTCTCATACTTCATTTGAAAGATAGGGACCCTATTTCAAAACAGCACCAAAGGGCTTTTATGTTCGTTACCAAATCAGCCGTTGAGTAGCCAGAGAATATTTGGTGAAGCTTTTGCTCAGCTCGAAGACATATCTTCGAAAGACACAGATAATCACCAGACTCCAAGTTATTGGAGCGACAAGCCTTCAACTAGAATACCCCACTCGCACGTAGATGACTAGATGTGTGTATAAAAAACTGGCACAACAAAAGAGGAGATCAAGGCCAGTCCCATAAGCCATAATCACGTCATACTTGGCGGGCATGATCAATCCGGATATACTACGAGGGAATATTCGCAAAATGGATTTCATCATCCATGACAATAAGGTGAAAAATAAGGTTATATTCCATAATTGAGTAAACGTACCCACCGAGAAGGCGACATACGTGTGAATAGAGTTGCATCACCTGCCACGTATCTTGACACCTGCCTGGCCCGTCGCCTGCCTTCCATGCTGTTGTAATTAGCCGGATTGATGTGACATCGTTTCTTGCTTCTACCTTTTCTGCGATATCGGGAAATGGAAATAATGAGCGGATAAAAATGATTGAACACGTAAGTTTGCATGTTATCACCCACCACCCACCCATGCATTGCCTAGCTCCAGGTATCCGGAGTTATTTCACGTATGGTTACATTTATTGCGAATGGATGACTTTGCTTGCGTGTTTGAATAAAGGCTGGCCCCACAAGCCTGTTGTTCACCGCTGCTTATATCTATATCAATCGCGCGAATACTTTTCCTGAGAGGGGTCACAGGATTGATATGGAAAACTCTAGCCATAGTCAATTAAGAGAGTCATGATGAAAGCTAGCTTAGGTCTTGTTTTGTTTTGGACCAGCCATGCTACGGCACTAGGATACGCAGATAGGCAGAAAACGCCATTGAAAGATGATGAAAAAGTGGCAGCACTCTTTCCAGCTCCTGAAGGTGATCTGATATCACCGGCGTTTCTGTTTCCCCATACTGTTCCTGAGGGCTTCGCCAATAATTCAGCCCCTCCGACCGATAGTGTTACTTCAGGTAAGTAGAATATATGATGGCTGCTGTTGTCAGGCATTGCAATTAACCTAGCTTGCTTTCATAGCGTCATTTCTCAAGTTACTGGCCCAGAAAAATGCATGGATAAACTACCATGAGCCCGACTTCACATCTGAAGAAGGACGAGTTATCCCCTATGTATACCTGTCCAAAACTCGCAAAGACTACGTGGAGGGTTCATCGGACAACAAACTGCGAATATGGATTCAGGGAGGCACGCACGGAGACGAGCCCGCGGGTCCTCAATCGGTCCTAGCATTGCTTGGGAAACTTAATGATGACAAGAAATGGGCTTCATCAGTTCTTGACAAAGCAGATCTCCTGGTGCTTCCGTTGTACAACCCTGACGGCACGCAGTACTTTCAGCGAGAGCTTGTCACCGGATTTGACGGTAACCGGGACCATGCTCTGCTCCAAAGAAAGCAGACTCGAGACGTCAAACAACTTCTCAACAGATTCAACCCTCATGTTTCCCACGATGCCCACGAATATACAGCTTGGAACCGATTTGGCGGGAATTACATCAAGGCCCATGATCTCCAGTTTTCTGCCGTAAAGAATCCCAACATCAGGCCTGAGATTAGAAGTCTCGGTGAGCGCCTTTTCACTGATACAGTCTACTCTACCGTGAGAAAGGCCGGATATCGCACGGGTCCTTACTTCACGGGCACTACTTCGGGAAGTGTAATCACTCTGACCGAGCCGGGCTCCTCTAGCGGGGGTGGGCACAACTCGTGGGGACTTGGCCAGCGGCTCTCATTTCTCGCTGAGACGCGTGGTATCAGATTGGGTGACCAGCACTTCAAGCGGAGGGTTACTACGGGACTTTTGGCTGCCGAGACAGTTCTGCGGGTGGCCACGGAGAACAAGGATTTGGTCTACAACACAATCGAGGACGCTCGTCGAGAGTTCATCAACGGAGACGATGAAATAGTCGTGGTGGATAAATCCAGAGTGACACAAGTAGACATCGACCTCATTAATGTCACTACAGGCGAAGTGGTTGATGTGCCCGTAACTTTCAACAACAACACACCCTCAGACGTGGTGCTGACCCGCCGCCGCCCCGAAGCTTACATTTTCTCGGGGGCCTGGTCCGACATTGCTGAGCGGCTTCGAGTCTTGGGGCTCAAGGTTGATGTCCTGGAGAGTGACTTCTACGGCGCCGTCGAAAGTCTCGTGGCCACCAACGTAACTTTGGCCACCAGCAGGAACCAAGGAATCGTACAGGCAACTGTCAGTACAAAACCAGGCACAAGAATCGTTCGCATTCCAGCGGGCGGCTTCCGAGTGAGTACACGTCAGCAGAATGCCGCCTACGCCTTCGTCACTTTGGAGCCGGAGAATGTATCCTCGTTCGTGACGACAAACACCATTCCTTTGGAGGTTGGGGAAGAGTATCCAGTGTTTAGGATAGTATAATTAACCTACGAGTATACGAATGTCTCGTATTTCATGAACGGGGGTTGCCGAAATCCAACTCATAGGCGTACGACTCGGAGGACCTGTGATATGTGCTGCTGTACCCCCCAGTTAGATCAGAGCCTTCTCTTAGCTATTGAGGTATAATAGATTTACCAATATGGCCTTGTCTTCAATGGTTCCTATCTCTCCATGTTGTTGAAAGTGAAATTGTACAAAGCATTCCGCACATCAACAGACTGCCCAGTATCTCCTTTGATCCATCAAGCTCAAGTTACATTGATTGTATGTTGAGTTCATCACATATTTTAGCATAGGTGCTTTTGTTAGTCCCTCGTATCAACCAACACCGGTAGGCCTGATTTCCATTCCTTCAATCTCCAGAAAAGTATGAAATGACATCCGGTCGGTAGGAAACCGAACACAAAAAATAGTTCAAGGAGATGGCCGCTAGAGAAACGCCGCCTGTTATCACCATACCCTCAATATGCCTCGATATTACTTTCGATATAGGAGCTAAGATAAATATGCTAGAGCCAAGCCTTATAGTTAATCTTAAAAGCAGGGTATCATCCACGGACCCCAGTTCTTTTGTTTAATATGAGTGGCGCTAGTACCATTAATAAGAAACGGGTCACAGCATCATTCTACCTGGTCTTCTTGTTGGGACCTTCGCTGTTGGGGCCCCAACAAATCCCTGAGTCTCTGGTATTGTCTTCCTTCAATAAGCTATGATAGAACTAACAACGTCAGCATCTGCCTACCTGTGACGCTCTCTTCAGCCCATAACTCTCTTTGCCCAGGAAATATCAGCTTAGTGGTGACGAACGCTGATCATGACCGAGAGTCGTGTGTTCGCCGCCGGCGAGCACGTTTTCCGAACTCACGATGATTCCACGTTACATTACACGGTTCATGGGGCTGGTCCATTAGTTGTCGTTCTCCCTCCAGCGTGGGGAATTGGATCCCAGTATCTTCAGGATGGGCTCGCGTCGCTGTACGGGGGCTGCACATTGTTATTTCTTGAGCTTAGAGGAAATGGAAAGTCCAGCAGGCCTCCAGCATCGCGAATGACGAGTTGGCATCTTGCCGAGGATGTCGAGTTTCTGCGCCAGGAATTGAAACTTGAAATGATACCATGCCTCATGGGTCATTCTGGAGGTGGCACCGTTGCACTATGGTATGCGATAAGGTTTCCCGAAAAAGTCCAAAACCTTGTTCTGTTAAATCATCAGTTGGAGGGATTTGATGATTCCGAGTCAATGAAGGCTATTCTCCAGCAAAAGCAAAAGGATCCCAAATTACGACCGGCTCTCGACGCCTGGACTACCTCGTGGGACAATGCCTCTGATGAGGAATTTGCGGCATTCTTTCGAACCTTTCTTCCAGTGTATTTCTACGATCCAAAAAGCTGTGACTTAGTGCCTTCACTGAGAGCTCTATCTTCTATACCAGTGTGGAATTACCATCTGTTGCATGGAAAGAGTGCATCTCAAAGGAACCAAGAGGCTGAGTTGGATTCAGTGAAAGCGCGGACGTTGCTTATCTTCGCGACAGATGATCCAATTTGTACACCGACGCAAGGAATGGCAACTAAGAATGGTATTGCTGGTTCCAAATTGGTGTTGTACGATAAATGCGGGCATTTCCCTTGGATAGAGAGGAAGGAGGAGGTTATCAAAGAACTTCAGGAGTTCTTCCCTTAGACTCATTCTTTGCACTATAATTCCAGTCGTTAATGGAAGGACTGGTCTTTGATTTAGTACTTCAATCAATCGCTATGGCTCGAGTGTTCCAACGCCCTATCTTTCGCCATGATTTGGTGAGGGAAATCTGGTCGCTATCTCGCTGCTAGAGGGAATGACAGTCTCCCCTGACCCGACCATCTTGCGTAGATGACCGCTCATTCTAAGCTATTCCTCTTCACTAGAGATCCTTTAGAGTAAAATGGTGCTTAATGTACATGAGCCAAGATTCGCTTTGTGCGTCAGCCACCGCATAGTCGCGGCTCAAGAGGGTTAGGTGCTTTTCCATCCCCCAAGTAAGGCGTCAGGCTCTCCACGGTCGACAGCTGGTACGGCCTTGGCAGGCAGGGCTTCCTTGAACTAGACCGTAGAGGTGGGAGTCAGCATCCAGGTTCTTTCCGCAATCACCTGTAGTCATAACCCCAGATTGAGCAATAATAACCATCAAATACATATGGGAATGACCCAGAACTTATCCTATAAAACGTCCTAAGACAGGTACATCACACTTTGTTTGACTGTTTTCCAAGTCTCTAACCAGCCAAATTCTTGCGATATAGATAATGCCTCGTGGTCTGCCCCCGGCACATGTGGTTCCATTCGACAGGGATATATCGTTACATCGGGCGCAATATTGTAAGGCGGTGTTCCAAGGGTCGCGCGACAAGTCCTTCTCTATCGTAGACCTCTTAAAGGCCGCTAGGTGGTACGGTTTTCCCAGATAGTGTATTCGCTTCAATCTCACAAACCCCATATATCGGTGAGAATAGACACAAACGGTCACCCAAGCTGAAAGGACTATCATGTCTACGGCCGGCTCTGTTACGCGCCTGCCCGACCCTGCCCGACCATCTACCCAACTTCGACCCGCTGCTCTCTACTATCCAGATACTACGGCGGTATTTCATGCCTCTGTGTTCAAATACAACAACAACGAATATACCCAGACCTTGGTTGTCAACTGCGTCACTTCATGTGGTTCTGACGGCATCCCCGAGCAAACTATCACGGTTAAATTTGGCAACACGTTATCATTCGCTGGCAATCATGTTTTGTCAGGCAGCCGCACCGCCTGGGGCTTTGCAGCGACAGGTGGCCAGTCAAGTTCGCTCAGGTATGCTGCCACCACAGTAAAGGATGGTGACAAGCTCAATCTCCCATTGAGTTCACTGGAGGTCCCAGCCTGTTTCGTGGCGTCACGCCTTCAAGTGGTCACAGTGACCACCGGCCTCGACAGAATCTACGGCTGGGGTACCTACAATGACAACTCTGATGTTATGACAACTTGGAAGGAACGTGCCATGTCTAGTCTCAGCTGCACTCCAACTACAGAGCACAGGACAACACAGATAGGGGGCACATCTGCATCTGGAGTCGCCGAGACGGGCTCAATGACAACAACAGCTGGGGCAGCCACGGCAACGCAGCCTGAGGGTTCAAGTGGTCTACTTAGGGCACCAAAAGGCCTGTTGGTGCTTTGCTTGACCTCAATCGTTTGGCTTCTTGTGTAAATAGAAACCTTCAACGCGCAACAGAGTCAATAGACTTACCTTCCTCCGTGGCTATCATAATTGCTAAGGAGGGAACAAGTCTAGAATTCTCTTTGGTATTGAGACTGCGGTCCATATTCTGCATATGTTTGAGGTATATCAGTATGAAATGTAAAATTGACCAGCAGCACCGCGTTTAACGTATCCATTGTGTTGAGATGTCGGTCTGGCATCTTCAATTATTGTTCAACTTTACACTCGAACTCTCTCCCGCACTGTGTTTAAAACATACTTCAGGATGCTTCAAGTGAGAGCAACCTTTTCTCATCATTAATAACCGGAACCCCCTATTCATAAGCATAGAAACAGTTTTTTCACCCTAGCCATGTAGTGGCATATGATGTGAGGTTCCTCTAACATAGGCTACCCATACTCATGTATTGTGTCCACATACACGAATTGACCTCGAAACTGACGAAACTGACCTGTTGTTCAAGTTGCGGATATGACTCTCATAACCTTGGGGTAAGTTAGCTTCATCATCTACATTCCATATCTTGTCTAGGCCATGATGTGGTCAGTTACGCTGACATTTAGTAAATGTACGAAGAGGAAATAGGATGTGGAAACTGATTTGCGTCTTGTGCTAGAATACCTCGCAGACATGGCTGCCTCTAAAGATTCCTTTCGTATATCCAGACTGTGAGCTCTTTACCTGGGAATTTCATGTGTTGTGTTGTGCCGTGACTTATGTGACTGTAGGCCGCAGCCATAAAGGGGTGGCAAGATAGTCGTTGTAAGTTTGTGAGTCTTACCATTACAAAATTTAGCAGCAGTACGCACTCTAATATGTCAAAGTCACATCGCGCGGTTAATCTACCTGAACAGATAACATCATCGGGTTGAAAAGGCAAATTTCATAGGTCGTTTAGAGTCAAGATACATGGACAATTCCTTCAACGTAACTAGAAATACCCGAACTAGGCTTGGAGGCCGCACGAATGACCCAGAGCAGGATCCTGCTCAAGTCATATCAGCTCTGGAATATACCAATTAGAGACACGGATTGATGGCAGCTATTAAGATTACTCTGTGTGATCGATGCGCCACTCTTCGCTATAGTCCAAAGTGAACATAGGGTATCCAGTGCACTGGCCCTCTAGATATATCCTCATCGTCTGAGGAAGCTGGAATAGCATCTCGAGGTGATGGCCCAATACTCTCGCCCTTATGACTTAATGTCGGGCACTCTCTCTTCTGCTCATCCGGTGAAGGTAGTTCTCTCTCTCTAGATTGGATCCGTATCTTTTTATTAGCTCGCTCAGTAAGCCACTGATCTCGAAGATCTATACAGGCTTCATGCAGGCCTAGGCTGACTGATTCATCAGTCATCCCTTTATCTCTTATCACCTCATATGTCCTTCGAGCGACATGGACGCATTGTTCATCATTAACCTCCCATAGAGTGCCGATAACATGGCGGAAGCCGGCCAGCTGGTAAGCACTGATGAGGTGAAGGTTCTCGTCGATAAACTCATCGTCTCCGCTTCGCCCGGTCCCGCATGCTGAGAGGTAGCCGAGGAAAGGGGGGTTCTTGCAGAGATTCATTTCCAATAGGCTAGCCACTGTCAGACGGTCGGTCTTCCAGTCTTGCAGCAGAAGGTAGCTCTGCAATGGATCCTTTGAATCAGCGTGCCCATGTCCAGCAAAATGAAATATTTTGCAGTCTGGAAGAAGCAATTCGACGTCCTTTTTGCATGTTAACTGATTCAAGATGTCCAGAGACATCTCCTTGAATATCTTTTCCAGAGTATTGACCTCCTGTTTCGCAAATTTAAGATGACTATTCTCTGGGGTATTTTCCATACCAATTAACAGCGCCTTTGAAGAAGTTCCAGGTGGGGTGAAGTCCTGCTGCCGTGCATAGATCATACATCGGATTGATGTGCTGTAAGATGAAACCACTCTATCTAGCACTGTTTCAGTAGATCCTTGGTAGTGAAGACCTGAAGCGTGAAGGGGTAGCTTCGTTAAGATGCCAGTGGGAATCCACCATACATGAGGCCATTCACTCTGAGCTGGAGAATGTGAAAACCCCAAAGCATCTAGAATTGGACCAGTTACTGTGTGCCACAGCCACTTCAGAGTCGAAGGACTATCTATTTGATGTCGCCTGCTTCTTCTCTTTGCCTCTTCTAGATTTAAGCCTGGCAAGGGTATAGTTTTTATGTCATTCTCATTAATCAGGATTGCATCGCATCGATAGTTGCTGGCATTTATAACAACAATCGGGCCACTGTTGGCAGCGGCGCTTATCTCCGTCCAGTCGGGAGCTTTCATGAAATCCTCCAAGCCAGGCATTGCTCGTATATCAGCTACCAGTTGATCCAGCTTCCTCACCGTCCCATATCGATGATTCGTCTGAGCCCGGGCAGATGATTGATTGTTGCTTTCCGAAACAAACGCTCCTTGTGTTAGGCAATTTTCTAAATCAGAGCGGAGACGGACGAAATCCTCGGCCTTTTCGGGATATTTGAGCCTTAGATCTTTGAGACCTGTAGAGCCAGACACTTCCATGAAGTCCTCCAATCCCGGCATTGCTTGGACATCTGCTATGAGGTTGCCTAGGTCCCAAATAAGTCTGTGGCGTCGGTGGATAGAATCAGGTCTTGAAAATGATCGATTCGTAATTTCCGAGATTGACTCTCCTTGTGAATCGTCTAGTTCATGGTAGATGCGCATAAACTCTTCTTCCTTCTCGGGGTGCTTGCGCTTCAAGTCGTCAAGTCCTGTCAATTCAACAGTTTTGCCGAAATCTTCGAACCCATGAATTGATTGAATTTCATCTTGTAATTTCATCAATCTTCTTATGATTTCAAAGCGGCGATGAGCTTTTGTTTGAATGACCTGAGTTTGTACAAACGACTCATCACTGCTTCCCAGGATCGATTTTACCTCCATCATAGGATCCTCCAGCTCAGAACGGACACGGATGAAGTCTTCAGCTTTTTGGGGATATTTACCACTCAGGTCTTTGAGGTTCGTTCTGATATCTTGGATTGACTCTGAGAGGACACAGCGTCCTTGTTCAAGGAGGAGCAACGCGGCCAGACCATCTCTGCCGGTTATAAGTCCAAGTGCGGCCGCGTCACATCCCAGGCCAGCAGCCTGGCAGAGAACATACTGCTTATCGAAGTTTTCCAAAGAGCGATGGGACAGTGAGGGAATTAGGCTCACTGCGAGCTGCGCGGCCTCGAAAGCTTGTTCCCAGTTTTCCATCGTGGCATGGCATCTTAGTAGCTTCGTGCCCGCCTCAACGCGATATTGAGTAAGCCCGTTGATTTGATGGAGAGCCAAGTCATAATATTTTATTGCATCTTTCATGTCTTGAAGATTTTTGGAGATCGCATATAGCTTCTCTAGCCGCATACCAAGGTGGGATTTATATCTGGCCAGCTCGGGGTTATTATCAGGATAGGTCTGAGAAATCGCGGTCCTGCCCCAAAGAATGGCCTCTTCTAGGTCCCACAAAGCTTTTGACTCTGCATATTTGATATCAAGAGCCATTGATAGATTATGGCAGAACAGGGCTATATCCGGATGGTGATCTATAGTCCCTGACACTGCTTGCTTCCCGCGTGAAATTGCTTCTTCAAGGTCATGGCGACTGCTGGACCATAAGAATCGCTTTTGGTATCTCAATCCAAGATTATTCAGATATCTCCGATATTCGTCTTGGTATGCAACGTTGTCTTTTGTTTCTTGCCCTATCAGCTCCCCAATTTTGATAGCCTGATCTAGATCCGCGATGTCGCCCTCTCTTATGTATCGATGTTCCAGATAGGTGCCGATAGCATTCCATCGTTCATGTTTCTTCAAGCTATCACTTGAGGTTGCTTGTAATGATTTAATTCCAAAATTAATAGCTCCTTCCAAATCCGCCTTCGCTCTTAGCTTCAGATATCGACGGAAGAAGTTATTGCTCAGATTAAAGGAGCCGACAGCAAAGGTCGAGTGGTCTTCCGGCACGGTTTGCATGATCTGTTCCCCGAGATTGATAGCTTGATCAAGGTACTGAAGATCTCCGGTGTTCGTGTATTCAACACTTAGCTTAACAGCTAAGTTGTTCAGGGCCCCAGCCTCATTGATAAATTCCTGTTTGCGAGCCTGCGTGACTAATTCCACAGCCTCCAGCACGTGCTCCTTCTGCGACGTGACTTTGCATCTCTTAATTAAGCGATCTGCTAGTGTCCAGCAGTATTTTGGCAAAATTGGGTTGAATTTGAAAGTTTCCCGCACCAATAGTCTGCCGAATTGAATGGCTTCGTCGAGATCCTCTATGTGTTCTAGTTTCAAATATCGGACTTCAAGGTAAGTGCCGATCTTGTCCTGGTAATGTTCCCGAACGCTGTTGTTGTAGTGGAGATCGTGGAGGATAGTCTTTAAAATCCGGATTGCTTCATCGATATCATCTATTGTTCCCTGGTGCAAAAAGCGTTCATATAGTTGGGTTGCAAGATTCTCCCGGACCCTGTTCTCATCCTCTGGATTTTTTGTTTGCAGAACGGCCTGTCTTCCAAGCTGGACAGCTTCATCAATAATTGACAAAGAGTGACTTGTGGGATACTGATGGCCAAGACAACGACTGAGATTACTCATAAATGACGCTAATTTGGGATGGTCTGCCGGGGCCAATTGCAGCACTTCTCGCCCAAGCTGTACTGCTTCTTCCAAGTCGGTCTCATCTCTCAGCTCAAGAAATCGCTGCTCAAGGAAGGTAGAAAGTGAGTCCAGATATGTGGGTAGGTCTGGGTTGTCTTCTAATCCTGCTCTGGATTGACCAGGATCAATTATCCATTCGTCGATTACCTCCGTCATTCTTTCTCTATTCGTTTTTCTCTTTTTAGACCTGTTTGGAAAAGGTACTGGTGTATAGGTGATTTTGAGACTTTTGCGTAAAGAGTGAGAACGAAAATCAAAGAAATAGCTGATGTAAGAGAGAAAACATAAGTAGCTTGATTGATTCTCTACACTTCTCAGTTTTCACTGCCCCGCACCTGATACGAGTAGCGAATGTGCTGGTCCAATTATCCTAGGGCCTTGGTTCTGCGAATGGGTTTAGATCAAATCTCGATTCCTATTCGCTCGCTTACTTGCCCTCGTCAGGTTAGAATTGGATGGGCTTACATAGACAGCAATTGTGCCTGTTGCCTAGCCTCTATAAGGAGTGCCTGAGAAGAGTAACAGTCTGCACAATAAGGGCATGTTGGGCTGAGCGTAAGTAAGCAGTTGCCTAAGCAAACCAGTCATTGTATCGCCCATAAGTGGGTGTCATTTTACGGGCGATAGCGAACTTGTACGGGAGAAAAGTAACCCCAAACAGCTACGGCATTCTATCGAATAGTTATCGATGCGATGGGTTTGACAAAGATGGAGTATTTACAATCATCCATCAGACAATAAACGCGAGGCGATAATCGAGCGATGTACATACGTTAGTTTTACGATGGGGGAGGAAGAATACATTGAATCATCTCAATGGTCCGAGGGAATCATAGGCGTTGATTAGCTACGGCAATGAACACAATCTTTCAGGGCGCCTGGTTGAAATCGTAGCTGTTCCCAAACCCCCGTCCCAAATACGTCCTCAAAGTCTCCTCGGTAGGCTTCCAATCCACCGGCACTTGCAATCCAAGCTTGCCATCTCGATCCAACTGTTCGATAATGGGCCTAACGTCCTCGGCTAATTCTAGCCTCATGAGGTTTCTATACCACGGAGCAAAGTGAATCATAGCCAACATGACCCTCGTTTCAGGGGTGTGGTTGGGCATTCCTGCGTGCCACAGCCTCAGGTCACGGATCACGACGCTTCCCTTGCTGATTGTTGGCTGCACGGGTGGCGAGATCTTCTTCCTCTCCCTCAGAAGGTGCTCTTGGATCCGGCCGCTGGCACGGTCTCCGTGTGCACCCTCTTGGGCTTCGATGCCGTAAGGCGTGTGTGTTCCCAGCCAGAGCTCGGTGGAGCCGTTCTCGGGTTTCGTGGTGACTAAAGGAACATTGACCACCAAAGCAAACGGGTTAGGCGGATGGGCGAAATCTGCGTCGGAGTGTACAGGCTGTCGCTGAGGTTCGATCTCGGGAGTTTTGCCCACGGCAGAGTTGGCTGAGCAGAAGGTCCACTTGGGCCGTGGCCCTAGGACGGCTGTGGTGACTTGAGTGGCCAATGGATCTATTCTCTTGTATCAGTGTTTTATCTCACAAGATCTCTCTTGATGAAACGTACTAGTGAAGACCTCTGGGAAGAAGTACTTGGAGACCGGAGGGGCATCTTGCTGCAAGTTGCCCTTGTTGTAATTGAATGGGCTCTTATCACCAAGCGACTGAAGAGTCCTGGTGTCCTCGACCATTTTCTCGTTCAAAGCATCGAGCTTCTCACGTGGAACGGCATCTTCAATGACAATAAGTCCATCTTGATATAGAGCCCGGACGGCAGTCTCCAGGTTTCTCTCATCAAGACGCTGGTTGCGGATTTCAGACAAGGATGGCTTAACCGCGATAGGCATGCGAGGAGTGCCAACCGTTGCAAAGGTTCGCCGACCCTTGAGCAGGGAGGAGAGTGCTCGAGATCGAATGCAGAACATCGTGATGATGTACACCGTTCGTACTAGGCTTGCTCACGAACAACGGGAGATGAGAATTTGAATAGATATTTTTAAATTACCTCAGGGGATGCCCGATCTCATTATGATATATATAGATATCCAAGGCCCTCCATCCTTACCGTTGAGAAAACTTTCCATCCAGAGGAAGCGACGTGTGATGATTCCCGAGCCCGGAAAACCCTTCCGCATAGCGCTTAGCCCGTTGGCTCGCCCGGGGAAGACTTCCAAGCCGATTCCAAATCACCCACAAGCCGTTCCACAGGCCAGCCAATCGTCTTCTTACATGCAAACAACTGGCGTTTTAGCTCCTGGCGGGCTGGCTCGTCATTGATGAGCCGAGCACCTGTATGATTTGACACGGCGTCAGCCTACGCAATCAAAAGCGTCTTCCATGGTCAGCAGACCACACTCACAGTAAGCCATCGGCCCGAAGGCATTGACGAGGACGGTGGGGATCTTGGACGAAAAGGCAATGCCGCAGATGTCAAGTGCAATGTTATGCAGGAATTGCTGCTTGGTTAGCAGGGCGTTGTCTCTGGGGAAGGCATCGACGGCCTTCAACCTATCCAGTCGCTGGGCATCGGGCAGATGGAGCCCGAGGATGGTCAGCGTGACAAGGTAGTAATGCATCGTCGAGGCTTAATTGGAGTATCCCGAGTTAGCCAGCGTTTTCCGAGCACGTCTGATTGGAAATATTACCGTGTGATTCGTGGAGAAAGTAGAGGGATGGCAGTGGGTTCGGTGTGCCCACAATCGCGGGCCGCCGAGAGAATGGACCCAGTCGGTCCGGCCGCGCTTTGATCCATTCATGGGTCATGGAGAAGGCGGCTTCCCATTCTTCTTCTGTGAGTGGGCGCTGGAGGGCGATGTTGATGATCTTGCCGAGTATCAAGGAGATGGAGTTCAGGTAGTCTGGGTCTGTTTCGTGTGATGTGATCAGGGTCAATGGATCCAGGTCCATTTTGAGGGGACACTGCTCGAAAAGGCTAAATGTGATGTCCTCACGCAGGTAATTCCAAAACCCAGCAGTGAGAAGACTTCTGGCCCTCAAATTGAGAGCATTTTGGTGAGAGACCATTGAGTAAGCACCCCGAAGATGCACGTTGGGATCCGTATCGCCTGAAGGATACCGCATGTCAATTAAAACGTGATTTCATCGCACAGTGTAATTTACGGATCAGTCAATTATATTACCATCAAGAATTTCATAAGACCGCAATAGACAAGTGGCCGCAAGGGCTTTGCCTGTGGAGACATGTTCATCCTCGCGATTAAGGGCGATGAGCAATCGGACACACCGATGATGATACGACTCGGCTGTTTTCCGCAGCTTTTTGCCACTGACTCTGCACATGTGCATAGCAGAGAGTGCAATAGCGGCCGAGAAAAGCAAGGGCTCATCGAGGGCGAGTGCAGGGACTGCAATGCCAAACGTGGAGGCAGAGTCGCTGAGATCATACCACGGTGCCAGGAACCGAATGTAGTGATCAAACAGCTGGGCGATTTCGAGATTTTCCAGTGCGTCTCTTGCAGTCAGTGGCTCGGCGTCATGACGCACTGTTGACCCTGCTTTTAGCTTGAAGATCACATACTATGAGCAGGGAGCAGAAGCCGTGAGCTGCTTACCAAACTGGGCAGGCCTTTGTGACCTGTCACAGTATCGACCAGACTTGTCGCACTGGCGACACACGGGAAATTCTTGGGTACCTGGCCCGGGGCAGTCAGCATGCCAATCAACTCAGGATGATGGAGGGCGGTATGTACATTTCAATTTGCGTTGGCGGCACGTGTTGCTAATGATGGCAATTGGGCATGAGCTTGATATCACATATCATTTGGAATGAAGCAAACCAAGCCTACCAGGACTCCTTTTTCAATGGGCGCGGCATCGTCTTAGTCGCCCCGAGGTATCAAACTGGCGACGATTCAACTCCACCGTAAGTGGCTCAACAAAGATTTTCGTGTTGAGTCTTTGGGCGCGAAGGCGATCTACGTCTTCAGCCAAGACCAATAATAAGACAGGGGCGTCATGGTGGTGTGCATTATGTAAGACTCTCTATCCAATCCAAGGCAATGTGATTATTGCTACCCTACGGCCATCACAGTTGCTACAAACTTGACCTCTCCACCATCTCTCAAGATAGAGTGATCATTATAAGACTAGGCTTCCTGTCTACAACTGGCCGGTAATACGTGTGAATCTGACTCTTCTACCTTGTTCCATCGGGAATTTGTTCTTAGGGTGCCTAAAATCATTGCTTCGCAGATCGACGAGTGCATGTAAGACCGAAAATCTTTCTCTGCCAGCTTCACAACTATCAGTGCCAGTGCCTTAATCAGAAGCAATAGCAACAATCAAAACCATGTATCATCCATATAGCTGATACTAGCGGGAGGGGAAACTACCTGCTAAGGGCAGCGAAGAAAACTCATACATGGTGATTAGTGCACCAATAGATGTTTTGGTTGGTGTAGACCTCAGTGTCGGAAATCATTGCAAAGTTGGATCAAACCAAGACAGATCCCCGGCTGGCAATGTATCCCTTGCTCATATCCGCATGAGAGCTGGGTTGTTAACGCGGAGTACGTTAGCATCCTAATGTATATGAAGACCCTGACGCTCGCACAACCAGGATAAATCTTAACGGTGAGTGTAGAAAGTGGGAACAACCATCTATTGTGCCCTACCCCAGAAGGCTTTTCCTCGCCTTTGAGTCCCGTGGTAAGTTGCTTAGAATTTCATTTTAGGGGTTTATAACACAAAAACGGCCATTCATTAGGATAGGCCAAGTGTGGGAGGGCATAGTTGTGGGGGGCTGTCGACAAAGAGACGGGCAGTTTGCCCCAGAGTAATCTGGGGCTAGTGGAAGGAATAATTGAATAATATACTGCGAAGCTGAATGGGGGTCAATCATTCACAGCAATTGATACCGCCTCAGCAACGGTGGCTTGAGCCTGTGACCAGGTGTTGTGCTGGTTCCGATGGTTCCGAACGTTCCGACGAGTCCATGAGTCAACGTTAATTTAGATACTGCAAATCCTCACTTCTCTATTGGTTCCACCGGCACAATGATAAGGAAGGATCGGTTAGTTTCATCTTCAACAAAGTAATAACCAAGAATTTTGACAAGGTGTGTCTTGCACGTTCACGACTCGAATGCCCAACTAAGGTCCGTAGAGAACTGTGCCTTCATCGCTGGGCTTCCTTCCCTGACCATAGTTGGATGTTTTTCCTGAAACAAAATCAAACATCTCCGTACTAACTGTATCCAAATGAGCGACAATTTGTATGATTGGATTACACTCTACCCGAGATAGCAAAATTCTAGCGGGGAAAGCCAGTTATCCCGCATGAGGCACCCCTCCCCTACTCGAGCCAGAGCATCCCAACTCCTCCTACCCAGCAGAAAGTTCCACACACCTTCCATGTGAGGGCGCGTTATTTTAGTGCTGATTTAGGTGGAGGTATTGTCAAGATATCCATGTCAAAAATGACTTCTAAAGGGCGTGAGTGACCAGCATCATTATGCATATAAGAACGTCAATGATCTACCTTCGAAAGATACATCATCGACAAAGCTGAACTTGGAATACTATAACTCAAATTCGATTACTCAAATCATACTCTTGCAATATGTCTCAACAACAAAAGCCCGGCATGACAGCCGATGAATTCCGGAAGGCTGCTCACGCCGCCATCGAAGAGAGTGAGTAGTAGAAAGAGAACTCACCTCAACAGTCACTAACAGGAGATAGTCATATCCTACAACGAAAACATTGCGCAATATCGCGTGCTACCCACAGTGAAGCCAGGGTATCTTGCTCCCCAGCTACCAGATTCAGCACCTGAGACCCCGGAATCATGGGAGAATATTCAGCCAGACATTGCCGACAAGATCATCCCCGGTCTAACCCATTGGCAGTCTCCAAACTTCATGGCATATTTCCCTGGCTGTTCCACGTACCCGTCTCTGCTTGGAGAGATGTATTCCGCTGCCTTCAGCGCCCCGGCTTTCAACTGGCTGTGTAGCCCCGTTTGCACCGAGCTTGAGACCGTTGTGCTAGATTGGGTCGCAAAAGGGCTATCTCTCCCTTCGTCGTACTACTCAGATTCGCCGTCGGGAGGGGGTGGTGTTATCCAGGGATCGGCTTCTGAGGCTGTCGTAACTTGTATGGTCGCTGCCCGGGAACGATATCTGCATGCAAAGTGCGATGCTGAGGGCCTCGAGAATCCTTCTTCGGAACGTGACGCCCGAATTGCCAGCTTGCGTCCAAAGCTTGTAGCTTTATCCTCGGACCAGGCACACTCTTCGACCATGAAGGGGGCCAACATTGCAGGCACCTTGCACTTTTCGATTGTCACATCACGAGAGAATGCTCTTGCTGTTACGGGCACCGACTTGACCCACGCTCTGGAGAAGGTCCGGGCTGAGGGCTTAGAGCCTTACTACATCACCCTCTCGATCGGATCGACTTCCACCTGCGCGATTGACGATTTCGAATCTCTCAAGCCCATCTTCGACCGACCCGAAAATGCCCAGATCTGGAAACATATCGACGCCGCATATGCTGGTGCTGCCATGTTCTTACCAGAGTACGCCAAGTCCTTGGCCCCGTTCACCGCCATGGTAGACTCTTTCAACACGAATTTTCACAAATGGCTTCTCGTCAACTTCGACGCCTCTTGTCTTTTCGTCCAAAACCGCAATCACCTGACACGAGCTCTGTCAATCTCCGCACCATACTACCAAAACAAACACTCCGACTCAGGTCTCGTCACCGATTATCGCGATTGGCAGATCCCGCTTGGCAGACGATTCCGAGCACTCAAGATCTGGTTCGTGATGCGCTCCTACGGGCTCTCGGGGATACGCGAGCATCTCACCCACACGTGCAAGCTCGGAGAGTTGTTTGCGGACCTGGTACGCTCCAGGTCTGACTTGTTTGAGATCGTTGCCGAGCCGCGGTTTGCGCTTACATGTTTCCGGGTTACGCCCAGCGCCCTGGCCGCACCTACGACTTCTGCTCTTACTAACGGGAGCGCCTCTGAGGCTGAGGTAAATTCTATAACACGTCAAATAACAGACCGCATTAATGCTGAAGGCACCATCCATATCATTGGTAGCAGTGCGGCGGGTCAGACGTTCATGAGAGTTGTCAGTGCCAACTCGAATGCCCAAGAGAAATACGTTAGAGGGGCATTTGATATCATTGTGAAAATTACAGAGGAGGCATTGAAGGAGAGAGGAGAATAGTAACTAGTAGAGCTCCAAATAGAAATAGAGATTCAAGTAGAAAGAAGTCATGAGAATGCCAGATAATTTGAACCAGATACAATAGTGAACATGAGTCTTCTTATTGGAAACAATCAAGTTTCCTTAAATACAAAACTAGACAATTTGGAAAGCCATTCTCTTAATGGCCGGTAATATGTCTTACTGAAAGCTGTGTGAAAACTGGAAACGTTGCGTGCGTCTTCTAGTTTCTACATCCCCTCGCATTGGTAAATAACTGGGAGTTGTAAGAGTGGTTGAGGGAGGACTGAAACTGATTAAGAACCCAAAATTCTCAACCTCTCTCTGTCATATCGTCTTGAGGAGAGTTGAGAATACATCCATATCTTATGTATTGATACAGATTCAACCATAAGAAATGATCACATGCTAGTGGTGGACATAATAAATTTGGTGTTCTGCTTGCCGAGCCGACGTTTCTATATTTAGCCTCTCTTGGCAAATGCATTTTTCTTTTCTGTTAGCGTTGGTACGAGAAACCAAATGCAATAAATACATGGTGTGACTTGATGACATCAGAGGCATTGTTCAAGTGAAAATTCGGATATCATCGCAGTATTATGTGACGTAGAAGGTGGCAATAGTGTTTCTGGTCAGACTTGATGCCATCTAAGAAGCAGAAGAGCCCAACCTCGCGTGTAAACGAGATGAGGCACAGCACCCAGTATTTATTATCAATCATGAGCCTAGTATGCATACTAAGATGCGCGGTTTTTATCAATCTAATCAAATATGGACACAGCCCTCGATCAGCTCCCCCACTTGATCCCCAAAACGGCAGAACTAGGACAGACTATTAAATAGGCCACAGTTCAGGGTTTTTGCTTGATCCCGGATTGTCCTCGTCTTCATTGTGTCCCAAGCTCTTCGGTCTTTTCTTGGTCTTTCTTCGTTGCACGTTATCGCTTACAAACATGTCCTCCAAGGCGTATCCCGAAGGTGGCACAGTGCTGCAGACTTTCAAGCAGGCCTTCACCGGTGTAGTCGTCGACGCAAACAACAAGGTTGATACGAGGCAATTTCTCGAGGCCGCTGAGAGTTGGACGACGCTTTTTGGTATTCCCCCGCACCGAGTCCCACCGGAATGAGCAAGAACTGATATCCCTGGTCCCAAGACGCTATTGCCGCAGTTGCCTTCTCGCCGGTGAAGAAGGACATGCTGTTCAATGTCGGGGTTTGTACTCTTTACCGTGCCCAGCACGATCGGGGGAGAAATTACTGATATGGTGATCTTTCAAGAGAATTCGTGAGCAGCAGACCGCTGCTCCGGCCGAATCCACCGCCGTTCAGGATCTTGTTGAGCACGAGCTCAAATCAAACAAGCAAAATGCGGCGGATGGCTTGCTTTGGCTCATCCGGTAAGTCTATCATGTCACAAAATCTCAAGTTTACTGGCTTACTGACGATATTTTCCCATGTCCCACTCGTCATAGTGCCATTGATTTCACCTTCCGCGCTCTAAAGCGCACGGTTGACAACCCAAAAGAGGAGCTAGCCGAGTCGTTTAGAATCTCGTACAAGGAAACCCTAAAACCGCATCATCCGTTCTGGATCAAGCCTGTGTTCACTGCATCCATGTCTCTTTGTCCCTACCGGGCGGCTTTTATTGCCAATCTTGGGGATGATGTCGAGCAGGCCACCTCGGAATTGAAGACGCATCTTGAGGCTTTATCAAAGATTATCAATATTTTGAGCCCATTTATTGAGGCCAAGGCTGCAAATAAATGGAAATAATCTGGGGATGAAAGACAGTCAATAACGAAACTGAGTGGTTAATTCACACATATGCTCCGGCTTATTCGACGATTTGCCTTGGGTGTAGCTTTCCAATCGCGAATGCGGATATTTGTCTACATTTGTTCCCGGTCCTAAACCCTAACTCCCGTTCGTGCAGGTTTTATGAGAGCCTCATGAAGATCCGCGTGTTACTTGAACAAGAAGTAAGCCCATGAACTTGGGTTATATTTAACTCTGACTCTGAAATTTTATCTTACCTCCTCTTCTCTTTTTCTTCTAACTCTACTACCACTCTTGTGTCTCTCTTTTAGACGATTCTACCCCCCTCTTCTCATGGAGTGCAAGACAGCAAACCAGGGGGACCGCACCCACTGTTATTCTTAAATCTTGGGGTAACACTTGTGGCGATCTTCGGTCTCCTTCCAGCCAACACACTTATAGCAAGACAGGAGGTTCTTGGGGTCAACCTCATTCTTAATCTTAAGAAGACGGTCGTAGTTTTCTTGGCCCCAGTAGCTCACAATGTGGTTGGGCTCAAAAGTATCACCCTCTCCCATGTACGCGCCTCCGCTAGGAGTGATCTCGCGGATCTTGTCCATGTCCTTGCTCACGTCGCTGAAGATCTTGGTAAGAGCCTCAGACGAGGTCTTTGTCGCGTCGGCTGGGTCAAAGATTGTCTGGTAAACCAGATTCCAAGGTGAGGTTCGCTGCAACTAGTGTCAGTATGATACGAGAGAAAGAGTTTGTACGTTTAGTGGCATTTAACTTACCCAGACAGGAGTCAGGGCGGACTGGCCAACATTTCCAGTCTTGTCCGATTCTGCCAGATCATGCACATAAGGGGTAACAAGAAGAGCTCCATAGATGCCCTTCTGCACAAGGATTTCGACTAGGGCTTTTTGGGTCTTCTCGTCTTCGAAAGTCTCCTTGGGGACGAGTCTAGATGACTGGGCGATCATAGATCCTATATCCTTAGACCCAAAAGCGATGGACTCGGGCGTCCTCTGGAAGGCAGCCTGGCTGGGGAGACTGGTAATATTCTTGCGATAGGCAATAGCGCCACCATTCGAAACTGAATCGAAGTACTCGTAGATCGGCTTGAGGGAATCCTGGGCCTGCTCAACACTGATCTTAGGGGTGATACCGATGAAAATGACGGTGTTGCCGGCACCAAAGCCCAGGTAGCCACCCCAGCCCTCCTCGGCCCATTTATTGGCGTTCTTGACGAAGATTTCGGTGATTTCTTGAGAACCGGTTGGAATGGCCATGGCAAGACTGGCAAACTTGGAACGCAACCCCCGTTAGCCTTCGCTTCGTTCAGAGATAGGTCTGTCCACCGATAACTTACCGTGAAAGCAGTGTCCTTGTGAACCTTAGTGGTAACCTCCGTAACGACACCGAATGTGCCACCTCCACCGCCTCGCAGGGCAAAGTAAATGTCCTGGTTCTGGCATCTGTTCGCAGTCACAAAGGTTCCATTAGGAAGGACTACCTTCATCTGCATGTTATTGTCAACACCCAGCCCGTAAGTAGGCGAGTAAGGTCCGTGACCGCCTCCCTGGATCCATCCGCCTGCAGCCCCAACAGTTGGGCATGTACCGCCCACAACCTGTATGAACATTATCGTTAGTACTTCTCAGCTCCTCTTGTTTCAGTACTATTGATGTTGACTGTACCAGATAGCCAGAGTCCCGGACAAAGTCATAGACACCGGCCCACATCTCGCCGGCGCCGTACGTAATTGCAGCTCCAACGGGTTCCTTGCAACCTTCGGGAGTGAATTGTTCATCCAGTCTAATATCGGGACGAAGGTTGTGAGTCCTAAATATAAGTTTAGTCCAGGTCACATACAAAGATCTAACGGCGAATTTCCGCCGCACACGATGAGGACGTACCAGATTCCAAAGGTATTTGGGGCGGCGCTTCGGCCCTTGTAGTCGTGACCAGTATTCTTGATTGTGATGGGAAGATCATGCTCATTGGCAAAGCCTAGAGCGGCTTGAATGTCCTCTACGCCGGCGACTTCGACGTAATAGTCGGGCACGCTTCCCTGGTAGCAAGTGCCCTGTTTAGGGTTCTCGAGAATGCTAGGGCTCAGGGTGCAGTGCTCGCCAGTAGCCATACAAGAGCCAAACGAAGCACTATGGTAAGAGCCGAAGTCGGCGACCAGAGTATCGGATTTCGTCAGGCCCGACTGGATAGTTGCGCAGCGCGCCGAGTCAGGCGTGTTGGAGAATGTCCCAGTCGAGTTCTGGTATGTCTCAAAGCAAGGCAGACCGTATGGACGGCCTGCGTGCAGACGGCCAGATACCTTTTCATTTAGAGATGCCCACGCAGACTCTGGAACATTCAAAATTGGCGAGCCTTCTCGGCATCGAAGCCCGCTGGGCGAAGCGGCGGCAACACCCAGCAGGAGGGAAAGGGCAAGAACACCCATTGTTAATGCCCCAAGAACTTGGCTTTTTCACCTATAAACAGGTAGATAGATACAAGTAAACGGATGTAAAGAGATAGAGAAAGAAAAGGAATCGATCCCGGTATAACAGAGCATTGAAACGTTGACATCCGCGGGCAAATAGCTTGAATTTATATACCCAGGGAAACACTAGCCTGAATAAGTGCAATCAATTATACCCTCCGAAGGCTATACCGGACGGAACGTTCCTGGAGTATAATGAAAAGAAATCCTTTAGCCGAGCAGACGGGGCGCATCGTACTTTGGCGGGATCTTGTTTGACAGCAGAGCAAGATGGTAGTCCGTAAAACAGGGATCCAAAGCCATTGCAAGGGATACCGGTATCCATAGCAATTCAAAGTTATCTCTACCTGACCTTGTTGCATTTTGACTACTACACCGAAATCAACTCCACAACAGCAACTCGGCCGCTATCGAGTCTCCTGTCCTCTCTTCTTGGTATATTTAACTAACTAATAGCCCTCTTACTTCCGAAATACTTCTAGTAAGATGAACACACAAGGTCCAGATAGCCGTATGTTTCCTCCCATGATGAAAATTCGTATTTGATTGGTATTTGTTAAAACTGCCAAGACCCCATCCTACATCCACCGTGCTATGCAAAACAAGGCATGAGCTCAAGGAACCTTGTTGATTCGGGGAGCAACCTATCGGTATTATTCTTTTCAGATCCTATGTAATATATCATTGGCTATGGTCCGGTGGGCTGGCAAGTGAGCGGTGTCACCCCTGTATTGTTTCGCCTGTCTGTGCTGTCACATATGGCCCTGGCTAGATTGCCGGACATGGCGATCGGGAATCGCCCAATGACGACAAAATGTAAAATTAATCACCAACATGAAGATGCCGAGCCTCCACATTCGAGAAATGTACTATTAATAGTTGTCCATTTCAGATAGGCGCAGCCGCACGTATGAGGATGCAACCTCTAGGTACAAGATGAAAATAGGCATCACTAATAGCTTAGGCTGGGCTATAACGCGTCCTCTCTCGTTCCCAATATAAGAGAGCTCTCCACTGGATGTCTAATCATTCAAGATCCACTCTGCCGTTCTTCATGTAGGTTCGTTCTGATTTTCCCCCTTTTTAACTTCTTCGGGCAAATCAACAACCCCCAGAAAGCACATTCCAACACTGTTCTATGAGATTTGATGTAAACTTGGGGAACTACCTGCCATTGAGTGGGGCAGGTGAATCATCAATTTGAAGCGTATATATTGTGGGGAGGCACGTGACTATGCTAAAATCATTCTCCTAGGAAACATTTGAAATTTTGACAACTATTTAGCAATCGTCTAGCCCAAAACCCAGAGCCTACTTTTGTTTTAGTATTATGGAATCATTGATTAATTCAAAGGGCACGCTTTATATGTTGATCATATCACTGCAACCATGGATGGTATCGCTCCGCGTCGACAAGCTCTTAACGTAGGAGCTTTGCCCTCGCGCTCTCCCCAATCCGTCCGCCACATGTAGATCCTCTTGCTGATATAGCGTTGCTTTAAGGCGTGCGATTCCTGTCGGCAACGCAAAACAAAATGTGACGAGCTCAAGCCAAGCTGCGGTCGTTGCACCAGATTGGGCCTCGAATGTGCATATGTGGAAACTGTCCTCTCCAAGTTTGTATCCTTCATTGGCAACAACTCTTGTGGATCTTGGTTCGCTAATTGCTCTTTTCTAGGAAGAACCTATCTGTATCTGAACTCAATGATACTTTGAAAAGCATGGACAATAAGCTTGAGGCTCTGACCCATTTGGTGAAGAGCCAAAGCCAAGCTCTGCAACATCACCGTGACCCCGCCAGCCACGCATTCTCTAATCCGAGCCCGAGTGTGCATCACACGCTGGGTCCATTTACTCCAATAGCTCCTTTTGATGCAGCCTCGCCTCATTCTTCATCTATTCCTTATCTGGACACGGGGAGAATCCGCGATGAGCTGTCGTTAACACAGAAGCATTCCACCGCCCCCCAACATTTACTGACGTGGCCTTGCTCCCCATTTCATCTTAGCGAAAAACAGTTACAGTATCCCACTCAGTTGGAGATCCACCGTTCAAAAATGCCAGCCATCTCTCATATTTCTTGTGACAGCCCGCGGACTCCGCAAGGAAGCTCATGGCTATTACAGCTCTCTATGTCAGAGTTAAGCAGACTGACGCAGGGATACTTCTCCCATTTCCACCCCTCCTGCCTGATATTGGATGAGGGTCACTTCTACGGATTTCATCTGAACCATGCGATGCGAACCAGTTTCGCTGAGAGCCTGGACGCTTGCTTAGTGGTATTGATCTGCGCCCTGGGTGCTGTTGCCTCTCGCTTCTTAGATAGCCTTGATTGGCCAGGTGAGAACGATGAAAATGCTGGTCTGTCATTTTTCAATGTTGCTCAAGAAATGCTTCTCCATGTCGAAGGTCCAGATTGGGCCAGTGTTCAGTGTCTTTTACTCTCAGGGCATGTTCTACCGGAAGTACCAGGGACACTCGAATATCTATCGCTAACATGTCGCAATTAGGCTCTTCTTCTCTTCCAAACTTAGGGTCTACGATGCTTGGAGATTTATTCACCGCGCGTGTAGTACGATCTTGATTTTAGTACCACTGTAAGACCCAGTGACTCTCTCTCCATCTCAATTCTGTCAATCTAAATCTTAGCAGGCAAGATCAGCTGGAAGCACACCAAGCCCAGCTTTTTTGGATTGCATATCTTCAGGAGAGGTGAGAGAAAAAATCGGATTTAAGATATTTCTCAGACTAAAGGCGTCTCAAGTCAACTGCTTGCAGAATTTGATTTTCCACCTAGCGGCCTTGGAAAACTTGCAGGTTCTGTCGCTCTGCCGCTGGTTCCTGATGCGGGCACAGACCCCCACCACGCCAAGTACCAGTTCTTCTTTCTTGCCCTTATTTCAATGAGAAAGCTTCTAAATCGAGTACTTTATCATGTTTACAAGCAGGGTATTCATTCGTACCGTTCCATTCAGAAATCAGCAACTGATACTAATATCACTCAACAGACCAGCGATATGATGAAGCCCCTCATCCCACCAGCTCTCCGAGTGACGAACGCTTCAGCACGGTGTTCTCTGCCAATGAACGAATAATTGAAGAGTTAGATAGACAGCTAGAGGAGTGGAGAAATTGCCTTCCTGCTGGCCTCAACTTCTCTTCATATTCACCTTCCCAAGAGCCCCCTCCGCTAACGGAGCCTCGCGAGCCGAGATCAATTGACGACAGACTCCGCGGCCACCTCCTGGCCCGTTATTATGTTGCCAAATCTATCCTACATCGCCCTTTTCTTTATCGAGTGCTTCATTTTGAGCACAACGCTACTTTGATTACTGACAACGACCGTCTTGGTGCCACCGTGGCTATTCACTCAGCATTTTTATCAACTCTACACAGTGGGCTATTCCACGAGCCACTACCGCTGCTTCTGCATCCGATCAACTCGTGGAGGAGGTAAGATGCCATGGATTCTGATCAGCAGTAGACATAATTCACTGACTTGTGGGACAGTATGTTTGCACTTGAGCTACAAGTCGCCTTCTGCAGGCATCAAGACCCTCATCATTTTGCGTTGCCGAAGAATTATGAGAGTATTCGCCAAATTCGTGAGCAATTGTCATCTAGTTCAGCTCATTCTTGTCCTACTTTGAATAGAGACGAGGAAATTCTTCGTCTCCTTGAGTAGCCCACGTAGGAGACTGAGGGCGGTCGATGTATTGTACGAAGCAAGTGGAGTCTTAGGCAAAGCGAGTTGTTCCCAATCTAAAAATATGTTCATTCTATAGTAACTTCATCTCAAATATCACTCTAAATAAGCCTTCGTACTCAATGAACCCAAGCTCCCCCCTTGGCAGATGACCGGAAGGTGGCTGATACGCCCGAGTCCCTCGAATTCTTAGCCGCAGTGACATAAAACTCCGCGTCAGCATCAATAACCCATTTGGTGACGCTGTCATCCCAATACGAAACGCTGACCTTGTCCAATACTGTAGTAGCGGTGCGGGTCTCTCCTGCCTTCACGAAGACCTTATCGTAACCCTTGAGCTCTCTCGATGGTCTTCCCAGTCTAGACTTGGTCTGGCTGACATAAAACTGAACAGCCTCCTTGCCATCACGAGACCCAGTGTTGGTAATATCAACCTTGACCTCAATCTTTCCGTCCAGACCCAGGACTTCCTCATTGATACGGATGTTGGAATACTCGAAAGTTGTGTAAGATAACCCAGCCCCAAATGGGAACAGCGGCTCGATCTTACGGTGATCGTAGTAACGGTATCCAGCATAGATACCCTCTCCATAATGTACAACGTCATTCTCGCCTGGGTAGTTGTCGTACGGAGGCGTGTCCTCAAGACGTCGCGGGAATGTTATTGGCAGCTTTCCCGAAGGATTCACTGATCCAAGAAGGACATCTGCAAGGCAATTTCCCTGTTCTTGTCCTTGATACCATGCCTGGATGATTGTGGAGACTTGAGACTCCCAGGGCATGGCGATAGGGCTTCCAGTCTGGTTCACAACAATGGTGTTGGGGTTGACCTTGGAAACAGCGGATATCAGCTCATCTGATCGTGCTGGAAGATTCATCGACACCATGTCGCTCGTCTCGGTCTCCCACTCGTGGTCCTTGCCTACCACCACAATGGCAACGTCGCTTGCTCCCGCCATGTCAACTGCCCCTTGGAAGAATTTGTCAAGGTCGCCCTGGTTCTCCAAGAAACCAATACGGCCGCCGTCTTGTACTTCCTCACGCTCAAGCATGGCCATATAATCAATATCATAGGGCTTAGGCTCACGGCTAACGGATTCCAAAACAAGTTCGTACTCGCGTCCCGCCTCCATGTGGACATCAACACGCTCCTCGGGGGATCCGTAGCTCATAAACAGCGCCGACTTGGGAGACCACCAGTGTCTCTCGATGTCGATGATGACTTTGCCATCTAGGATGAGCTTTCCGGGCCCGCAAGATGACAGGGAGAACTGGTGCAGGCCAGTTGTCTTGGGTGTCACAATGCAGCGTCCGCGGTAGGAGTATCTAGTACCGGTTGTGAGCTCGGGGGGCAAACCATCGTAACAGACCAAGTTGGAGCTGGGTCGGTTCTCCACCATGAAGGGCTCGCCTTCATGTTCCATGTTTCTCCACAAGGAGAGAAGAAACCCGTTGGCCCCTGTTGATGGATTCTTCATGACAGCTGGGTCCAGGAGTGGGAGGTATCTGTGAGCAGGAAAGGCGGCGTGAGTCTGCAACTTGGCCGTGGGGAATTTCTGCGATAGCTCGGCCTTGAGCGACTCGTATGGTGTCGTTCGGTAATGTGGCTCGAGGTTAGAGCTTCCGCCACCGGTAGCTACTGATCTGGCTGCGTTAGGGCCGATGATGGCGATCGTCTTGTTGTCTAAACTCTCAAGCGGAAGAATGTTGGCTGAGTTCTTGAGCAGCACAATGCCTGGTTCTTGCGTTAACAAAGTGAGATGGAAGTAAAAGAATGGCACAGTTACTCACCTTCTGCTCCTGCTTTGCGCAGAATTGCTCTGTGTTCTGGGAGATCAGTTGCCTTCTCTTTACCCTCTTTCCAGTCTGGAATCTTGCTTTTCCCAGTTCGCTCCAGCAGCCCAAGGAGACGGCTGACGGAGTCGTTGAGGAACGATTCGTCAAACCGCCCCTTCTTGTAAGCGTCCAGTAAGTGCTGGCCTCTCCTTCTTACAGGTCCAGGCATCTCGAGGTCCAGACTGAATTTTATCAGCGATTATATCAAACAAAATGAATATCGCGAGACCTACCCTGCCTTGATCGATGGAACGATGCTGTTGGTACCAAACCAATCGCTCATGGCCAAGCCATCCCAGCCCCATTCTCCACGCAGAACGTCTTGGAGGAGAAAGTCACTAGCGGAGCAGAAATCACCATTGACTCTATTATAGGCGGTCATCAAGCTCCAGGGGTTGCTATCTCGAATGGCAATTTGAAATGGCTGGAGATGAATTTCTCGCAGTGCTCGATCGGGGATCTTCTCATCGATGAAAAACCGGCGAGTTTCTTGGTCGTTTGCGACAAAGTGCTTGATGCAGGCGCCGATTCCAGCCGCCTGGATGGTGTTGATATATGTTCCGGCCAGCTTACCAGTGAGAAAGGGGTCTTCACTGTACGCTTCGAAATTACGGCCGCCGAGGGGTGTGCGAGGGATACAGACTGCGACTTCGTATAAGCAATGAATAGTACATTTTTAGTTTGGATCAATTACCTGTAGGCCCAAGGAGTACGTCAACTTCTTTGCTCTTAGCTTCGTCGATGAGAACCTTGCAGAGGTCGCGCACGACCTTGTTATCCCATGTAGCTGCTATTGAGACACTTCGATTCGTTAGCTACCGTCTGTGCGGCCTTGGTCGGAGCTCTTACCCCGTTGGTAATGAGGCAGCTTTCACACCATCTGTGAAAATGCCACCTCTGACGCCGACTGGCCCATCAGACGTCTTCAGCCTGGAAATTCCCAGGCGAGGGATCGGGTGCGTACGCCACAGATCCTCGCCGGCTAGTAGAAGAACCTTCTCTTCCAGAGTCATCTGAGAGAGCTTTTCCTGGGCCCATTGGCTTGCAACTTTGGTGCCATTGGTAGCACCGCTGTCGCCGTTGGAAAGGTATATCTTGGTCATCGTCAATGGCAAATTTTGCAATCCTTGGGTAAGTACCAGGGATTGTCTATGTGTGGCCGAAAGCAATAAGACAAAATAGGAAAGGAAACCGGTCTGGTCTTCGTCTAGAGATCAGGAGAAAATTGAGCTGCGCTCGTTTCTTTTGAACGATTGATGATTAGCGACGGACAGCACTTCCGGGGTCCCCATGGTTGATCACTACCCGCCATGATGGCCTAACTTCATCTTCTAATGGCCGGGGAGAAATGGACTGGGGCCGATGATGCATTTCAAATGGGCCTCGTGATCGTGTGGGGAGTTTTAGCGGTTGACATCGGAGTCAGTCCGTCTCTCCCCGTCCAAGCCTCCTCCCCACAGCCAACAGTCTTACCAGGTTAGCCTCGGCCACGATTCAGTACGCTTGCAATCGGAACAGTCATGAATGAAGAAAACAAGAGAAAGAAGCTCGCTAATTAGCCAAGTCATAAAATTGATGGTATGGAGACGAGGCTGCTTGCTCATGTGCCAATGGACGCTCTCGTCGTGAACCTCACCAAGGGGCCAACGTCGAAACCGATTTTGCGGTGGCTCAGGAGAGAGAGAAAATATCACAAATTCTACAAAATCGACACGGGTATCATCAACAACCATGTATTCAGCCAATCGCAACGATGACATAGCTGTCGCCCAGGAGCATCGCTCTGACTCGGATCTCGACGTCCTAGCCCACGAAAAAACAACGACCACGGAACCCGATCGAGCCGTCGCCGACAATAAATCCTCCGAAAATACCCAAATAATCCAAGTCATTGGCCTCGAAGCTCTTCTTCCAACTTTCTCCCCAGCTGAGGCACTGAAAGCGAACGGCATTATCGATGACCAACTCGCCTCGGACATCTCAAACCTACAAGGCTTCCAGTCGCCATTCGCGTGGAGCAAACGAAAGAAAATCACCGTACTCTCTGGGGCCTTCTTAGCATCTTGCCTTGCAGCATACGCAGCCGGCGCCTACGCTCTCGCGTCTCAGCCGCTACGAAGCGAGTGGGATATCTCGGACACCGAGTTCAATGCGGGCATCACAATGTTCGTTTTGGGCTTTGGATTCGCTCCCATGATTCTTGCCCCCATCAGTGAAGCACACGGTCGATATTGGGTCTTTTGTGGATCCGGATTGATCTTCCTTCTCGGGCTGGTTGGTTGCGCTGTGACAGACTCCTATGCCGGCATGTTAGTATCCCGATTTGTCGTTGGCAGCGGAGCATCAGTCTACGCGACACTCACAGGTGGTGTCGTCAGCGATCTCTACCATAAAGAAGACAGGAATACCCCAATGTCTCTCTACTCCCTGAGTATTATGATTGGCACCGGTCTGGGACCACTAATCAGTGGCGTTGTGGTTGATCATCTTGGTTGGAGATGGATCTTCTATCTTCAAGCTATCGCTGTGGGATCTACAAGTCTGATAATATTCCTATTTTTCAAGGAGACTCGAAGCAATGTTGTCTTGAGAAGGAAGTGTATGAGGATGAATAGGCTCATTTTAGAGAGCAGTTCAAGCCCATACCTGCTAGAGTTTCAACCTGCCTCTGAGGAACGCAAATTCGACATCAGCATTATTTGGCGAAGCTTTGCCTTCCCTTTGAGACTACTAGTAACAGAGTCCGTGGTATTCTGGTTTTCGGCTTGGGTTTCATTTGCTTGGGCCATTCTATACATGCAGTTCAGCAGTATCGGGATTGTCTTCAGAGACGTGTACGACTTTAGCAACACACAAGTCGGTGCTGTCTACACGGCCGTCATTTTTGGTTCTACAATCTCTTGCTTTCTATCCATTATTCAAGAATCAGCAATGTACAAGTTTTACCCTCAACGCATGGCTTCGCCGGAGGGTCGACTGCTTGCACCCGGCATCCAATCCATCCTGCTGCCTGCTGGACTTTTCTGGTTCGGATGGAGTTCTGGGTCGAAATTACATTGGATATTGCCTACAATAGCAATTGGATCGTGTACGATGGGGATTTTTAGTATTTATCTGGCAGTGTTCAACTATCTTGCCGA